GGTAGCTAAATGAAATGATGAAAAATCAATAGATATGGGCAGAGACTCGATATGTTAAGGTAAACTTTAAAATGCAATTGGCCAGGCAATTACCAGTTAATCCTGTAATCCCTCGATACTTAGGAGGCAGAGATTGGGAAGGTTGCAATTTGAAGCCAGCCATGGCAAAGTTCAAGAAACCCCATCTCAGCCACCTGTCATCCCAGCTATGCAGCGAGGCACAAACAGAAGGGTCATGGTGCCTGGTCATAAAGCTAGGTCCTAGCTCAAAAATAGCCAGCACAACGAGGTTGGCAGTGACTCAAGTAGAAGAGTGCCTTCCAAGCAAGTATAAGGCCCTGAGTTCGACTCCCAGTACCACTGCCTCCCCCAAAAAAAGGCAGTCAACATTTGAAGTTTTATGCTAGCTATAAATTAGCCAGACTGATCAGTGAAAACTGCATGATCGGAGAGGTTTCTGTGGAATTCTGTTGTGCATTGGCTTTTGCTGGAACTTTTCACAGTAAATAGGATTGATCAGATTTCCTCCTGCCTTCTTATTTTAGAATGTTGTGAGTTTAAAGCACTATGGTCAACTCTGCAGGACACACTACAGGCTGGCCCATCTAGATAGAGCTGGTTCTCTACAGGGAGGTGTTTGGTGAGAAAACATTTGACTCAGGGACTCTGGCAAGGGCTTTGAGAGAGTAGTTCTAATTTGAGTTAGGCACGGAAGGAGATCTAGGATTGCAAGCTTGGAAACACTTCAAGGTGTTCGAAAGTTTCAGATGTGTTCTGATCACAGAGTGCATTGCTGTGGGCTTTTAGACCAGACAGACAGGTTAAGGCTGCTGTGGAGAGTGCTAAGGTGAGGTTGTAGGTAGAGGTAGGAAGGAGGCAGGTTGGGCTGGGCCGTCTCAGTCATCCTGGTAAGTCATAATGAAGCCACAATTAGAGCTGTGATAGAATAAGACAGTGGGAAGTTACGTGAGGGCATTATAGAGGTCAAATCTTCAGGTTTTCAGAAAGGATTGACCAAAGTGAGCAAAGGGAAGAAAAAATTGAAGACAGCCTGGGGCTCTGGAATCTGGTTGAAGTAGGTTGGTAACTCTAAGGTAAGGCAAGAGAAGTGCCCAGGACACAAAATTTAAAGACACTGTCAGACTTGTACAAGTGCAAAGTTCAGCACCTGAGAATGAGTACCTCGTTAACCGGGAGTGGGCACCTTGCAGTCCTATCCCTGACCTTCCAGTTACCTTTGAAAGGTGGATTGAAGTCAGAAGAGGAATTGTTTGAAGGAGGAAAACTGATGTCTCTGATTTTGGACAGGTTTCTTTGGACCTGTTTGATGGATCCAAAGAAAGATATGTAGCAAGGCAATTAAAATATTATTTTGGGGGGCACAAAACAGTAGAAGAGATGGGAGGAAAGAAGAGGAGGAAGAGAGAGGGAGAGAGAGAGAGAGAGAAGAATAAGTAGGATTGTGGGGAGAGTAGGAGTGACACATGCATATGTGTTAGGGTATTAGTTGAATCGAATCCTGGAAGTGGTGTCAGTTGCCCACACTCAGCTACATGTCCTGGTGTGGTATCAGTTTCACAACCACACCAATCATCTATTTTAGCCCTTAATTATATAACAAGTACCTGCACAATCCTTATCAAGTGCCAAACACTGGTTTTCATACTTATGTACATTGATTTCTCTAAGCCTCATAACCCCCATAGGTTACCCCACTTCACACACTATGAAACCAAGGTGCGCAAGGAGAAGTGCCCTGCCAAGTCTCAAGCAGTCATGCATGTCACCACTCGTGTGCAAACTCAGGCTTTCAGGGTGTGTGCTGCTGACCAGATTTGAAAACATTCAAATGAGACATGATCACCTATTATCTTACACTCAAAAACATTTCCCATTCCGTTCCTACCTGACAGTGGCCCCTGGCCCTGGAGAATGATTTTGGATAGGACTGTCAGCACAGAGCAGGACCTTGCAGAACAAATGCAGAAGAGATGCCAGAAGTGACAGAGAGTAAAGGCACAAACATCAGAGTAAAATCAAGATGGTGCTGGGCTGAGGCCCCTGCAAGAAACAGGCTGCTCCCCAAGGGTCAAACTTCAGAGACTGTGTCTGAATAAAGGCATGGAGTTTGCAGACTGAAAGTTACTAGCAATCTTTTTTAAAATGGTATTGGGGTTTGAACTCAGGGCTTCACACCTGCTAGGTAGACACTCTACCACATGAGCCCCACCCCAGCCCCCCATTTTTTAAATTTAATTACTTTTCAGGTAGAGTCTCATATTTTTTATGCCCAGATCCTCCTACCTACAGCCTCCCATGTAGTTGAGACTGTAAGTATGTGCCATCACACCCAATTGATTTGTTGAGATGGGGTCTCACTAGCATTTTGCCTGGACTGACCTCAAATCTCCCAGTCTCCACCTCCTGAGGAGCTGGGATTATAGGCCTGAGTCATCATGCCCAAATACTGGCAATCTTTGATAGAGGAATGACTGCAATGGCGAGAGGAAGAGAAACTCTTTTTAGGGGAATTAGGAAAGTGAGTAATGAGAAACCAAAGCAAGGGATATGGCAGTCTTGATATATAAGGGCAGAGACCCAGGCAGCAGCAGCTGGAAGTTGCAGCCTACAGAGAGAATTCATTTGTGTGCGAGCAGTGGTAGTGGGCTGCGGAGAAGCATGGTGAACACAAGGCAGAAAGCTCCAGATTCAAATCTTGTTCTGTACTGTGCAGCCTGAGACAAGTTACTTAATTTCCCCAAGATTTGTTTTCCCCAGTGCTAATGGAATTAATATTACTTAGCAATTTTGACAAAGGATGCGACACATACAACATATGCAGAGCAGATGTTCAGTAATGATCAATGCTACTAAAATTACAGTGAATTTATCTTAAAATACACGATGGTGTTGAGTTTCATAAAGGTATGTGAAAGGAGTTTTTATGTCTTTCTAAACTCCCCACCAGAAAAAGAAAAGAAATCGTTAACTCCAGCTGTGCCCGTTGCAGCCAAACCGGACAAACCATCTGGGAAGGTATGAAAGTCTCAGTGCTCTCCTGCATAAGATAGTGTTCTCTGCTCTGTATTTCTGTCTGTCTGACATCTTTTGGCAAACAATATGAGATTCATTAAAACATCATTTTAATGAATCATTATTTTAAGAAGATATGACTGGGTTGAAACTGTGACATTCACATGTATAAAATGTTTGTAACATTTTATAACTGTCTGTTTTGAAAACTCCATCTTCATCTCATGGAGTTTACATTCGAATTTCTCTCCTGCAGTTATACTTTCTTAAACCAGATGTGTTTACTAAAGAGTATAAGGTACTTCTGCATTCTGAAATTCCTTGACACTTATCTGTGATTGAGTCCTAAAGTAGTGGGAATGTGGTAGTTGTGTAAAAAAAGGGCAAACATTGTAAGCAATCCTTTATAATCTGAGTTAAATAGTGAAGGGTCTTTCCCTAGATTGTGGATTCCCCTTCAATTACAGATTTTGTTCACAATTAGTCATTCTTAATTAACCTCAAAGATAAGGTGGCAGCACTCTCCCGTTCATTATGCTGACTTAAGCTCACATGGACAGAATAAATTGTCAATTCCTATAACTTAAACATCAATCCCAGGTAATTTCTGTTTTATAGACATAATTGGGCAAGCAAGTGAACAACAACAGCAACAAAAAAACCCCTAACAAATGAATGAAAGTGTTCAAGGAAATACGTTTTAGAAATAGATTCTTTTTGCAACAGGTGTTGTCTAGAAATTGTGATGGGGTTCTTTGCACAGAACTCTGGAAAACTATGAAAAGCAATGTGTATCAATTACTACATTGCTGTAGCAACAAGGTAATAATTCTTTGTATTTCTTTTTCTTTTTCCTCTTTAACTGGCAGGACATCCAATTGGCAACTTTAATGAACTCACATACTCATTCACGTAATTGATGACTCTGGACTTGTTGAAATTGAGATTCTTACCCAAATATGGCTTTTTATCTTCCCCACCAGATTGTGTATTCTGAAGCTTCAATAATAAAGTTAGACACAATTACCTATTTACAAATTTGGAAAATGTATAATGTTTGGTTTTCCTGGTATTTACAAAATTAAAAGTGAAATATGTTTAACAAATAACATTTATACCTGCTCTTTCATTTCCAGTCAGGCATGGATTCTGCTTTGGATGACTTGATAGACACTTTAGGAGGACCTGAAGAAACTAATGAAGAGAATACAACGTATACGGGACCAGTGGTTTCGGTATGTGACCTGCCCTCTGTCGAAATTTATGGTCAATGAGTAGTGAAGCCATAAGACCATGAAGTACAAGAAGTTCTGTTGCTTGATAGAAGCAGGATGGTATCAGTATCTAAAACAGCAAGTAAAAGCTGGTGTTAGGATGAAATGGGTTTGTTCTATGATAGCTGTACAGTTATGTTGGATCAGCAAATATTTGATTGTCTGTGCTAAGACTGACACTGGGATACTGCCTATTTGTTTTCTAGGTATTACATTAGAAATAACTATAAATCTGATAAACTTGTGTATTGGGTCGTATGGAAATCTGCTATGTCACTAACTTATTTTTGTATATGTTAGAAACGTTAGATATTGAAGACAGAATGTATTTTTAATAGAAAATACATTTTAGCATAATATTTTGAATATTTTCTAGCATTACATGTGAGTTCAGTCAATTAAATATGGGTGTTTGTGTAAACTTAGAACTTCATAGTTTTATAAAGTTTTAGCTTCTTGATGATTTATATTGCATGTCAGTGGTTCCATAAATTAATAAAGGAATATTACTTTGTTTTCACATTACATTTCAGCTGATTAGTTACATAATATCCTTGTCTGTGATTTTCTTCCAGGATCCAATGAGTTCTACCTACATTGAGGAATTGGGCAAAAGAGAAGTCACAATTCCTCCAAAATATAGAGAACTATTGGCTGTAAGTAACTGTTCACTTTTATTTCATTGTTTCCTTCTTGGAACATAATTTTATATCAATACCATCATAATTTTTAAAATTCAGGAAATATAATGCACATATGAAATTGTCATTTCTAAGAAATTCACTGTTTATATTTGCTAGGGCTGCCCTAACAAAGTACCCCAGGCTGGTGGTAACAATTTTTGGTACCATTGTTCTGTAACTGCTGGTTACAGAAATTTACTATAGTCTCATGGTTCTGGAGACTGGAGGTCTACAATTGAGGTGTCACCAGGGTTGGTTCCTTCTGAGGGCTATGAAGGAGAGCTCTCTTCTAGGCCTTTGTGCTTGGCTTATAAGGTGACTGTCTTCCTCTTGTGTCTGTTCACATCATCTCCCCTCTATGCATTTCTCTGGGTCCAAATTTGCCCTTTCCAGAAGGACACTAAGTTACATTGGATTCAGACCAATCCTAATGAGCTCAGTTTTACTTGATTATTTCCCAAAAGACCCTATGTCCAGCTAAGGTCTCATTATGAAGTACTAAAGGTTAGGAATTCAGCAAATGAATTTAGAGGAGGACACATTTCAATTCATTATACACTGAGAATACTTTTTGCTAATCAGGAAATTAATTTTGCCTTCTCAACCTCATCAAATTAATATTTGTTTCAGAAAAAGGAAGGAACCACAGGGCCTCCTCCAGACTCTTCGGTGAGTTTGCATAAATGTTTTCTAAGATGTAAATCAACTTCTGGTTGGGGGAATATGACTAACAATTCTTTTTTGGGGAATCATAAGTCTTCATAGTTTTATCTATTCAAAGAAAAATGATGGGTATGAGGTTGTCTCATTGCTTCTTGGTCTCATGTGTATTTTTTGAGGGGAAAGACAATGGAACCAAGAACATATAAGGATGAAATAAATGTTAATAACAATAATGTGAGCACATCTTACCACATGACTAACTCCTTTAGAAAACAGGAGAAATATAATTCTTACTGAGAACTTACCCCCTTTCAAACACAGGCTTTCATCTGAATTATTTCATTAATGTATCTCATTTGGTAGCAAAGGAATGCAAAAATCTGTTCTTCCTCTACGGAGTTTGTAATCCTTTCTTTCACTCGTATGGCTCCCTTGTGTTATCATCTTTGTGCTTGTTTCTTTAGAAATCCATGGGGCCAGACGATGCCATCGATGCCTTGTCATCTGACTTTACCTGTAGTTCTCCTACCACTGGTGGAAAGAAATCTGAGAAAGAGGTATTGCTTTTAATGCTATTAAGGATAACTTGTTAGAAACTATCTTGACCCTGAGAAGAACAGCAACTTTATAAATCTAGTTATTACAATTAAATTTCGATCATCTGTAAATATTACCTTTATATTTTATTTTTCAGAAATCTTCAGAAGTCTTAAAAGCTGAGTCAGCTAGGGTAATCAGAAGTACTGCTCCACCCCAGGAGAAGAAAAGAAAGGTGGAAGAGGTACCAATAATGACTCCTTTGAAAATAATCAGGAAGGCAGTCGCTTTCCTGAAGCCATTGAAGGCTATATTGATCATCTCCAGGCAAGCATCCTTATGAATTATGTGCTTTTAGCACAGTCTTCTAAGAGCATCTCACCATCACACACAGAGGGCAGAAACCAGAGGAATTGCACTCTTGGAATATAAAAATCTTAAGTTGATATCCTAAAGGAGTTTGAGCCTTGTGGATCAGTAGAGGGATGTCATTGTAGTTGTTTCTGTTTACCTCTCTTAACCACAATCATTTATGATCTAATTCTCGTAAATTCTGAAAGGCGATCCTGCAGTGCTGGGCTGGGTGAGAGAACATGTGCCATGAGCAAATAGTCTAGATAATGCTGAGGATAGTTTTCTATCAGAGCAGCTTCTGCCTCTCCCCTGCTGGAATGGACAGTTTATTTTTATCTGCCAGCCTGAGAGAACAGTGGTGAGCACCACACCCTAAGAGTAGGAGTTCCACAACCATGAGCCTTTGTGCCTTCAGAAAAGGCAGCGAGGCTGCTTCAAGTTTCTGGGCTTCCTGAATTTACTGTTTTGCTGAAGGATAGGGCTGTTAGCCTCCATTTTTGGAGACATAGTTTTAGAAAAAGAAAGTCAGGGTGGTAAAAATTTACTTTCTTGTGGCTGTTATTTTCATAAGAGTATTTTATAATAATTATTGTAGTTACACTTTTCACTTGCAAAATAAGGGGGTGAACTGTGCCCCAGAGAGTGCTGTTACTATAGGAACGTGTCTTAGCTCAAATTTTCATTGACTGGTAAGTCCTTTTTCCTTTTTCTCCTTTACTTAGTTTTCAAATAGAGTTGCCTACCTAAAGTACTCCCTTAATCGACAATTCATCTTATATATTTAAAACATGTATTTTACAAAGAAGCAAATGGATTCTCTGAGCTCTGAAGTTGCTCTGCTTTTTTGTGCACAGAATTTTTCTTTTTTAACAGGATGCCATGAGTGATCAAGCACTTGAGGCTTTGTCAGCTTCACTGGGTACCCGGAAATCAGACCCTGAGATTGACCTCAGCTCCATTAAGGAAGCCGATGAGGTACTGACCTTGGAGTTCATATACAAAGCGTGTTAGTCTGCAGCTTGACAAGCAGAATGCCTGCCACATTTAGAATTCTTGCCTAGCTTTTACTTTATTGGAGATTGAACTATTCGTCATTGTTCCTTATTTTCAGAGTCTGGTTAATGTAGTTATTTGTTGCTGGGCAGTTAGCAACCAAGAGGGATATTTGAGTGTTCTTGTAAAAAACCTATAATTTTAATATTCAAAATTAACACTAATCTCCTTTGCCAAAGCTTATATGGCACTTGACTAAACAAGATAACAGGTGACAGTGGGCTGGTGAGAAAGAGTAAGCTTTGTTTGCTCTTGTGGAGGGCCACGGAAGATGGAAGGATCTTTCTTAAACTATGGGGAAAGAGGTTGAAAAATTTGTATCAAACTTGAATGAAAGGGAACAACAATTACTGGGTATCTGGAGCTCATGAACATTTAGAGCATGGTGCTGATGAGTATTCAGCTCATCAACCTCCATTACTTAATAAGCCTTCTGAGCCAAAGAAAGCTTTTACCTGGTATAGAAGAACTTTTTAAATTAATGTTACTAGAATAAGTCAGGGAATCATATCTATTCCTATGCTATTTTCACATTTCAACACTGAGAATATCTGGTTATATAAATAAATGGGAATGTAGTTTTTCAGTAACAATCCCACTTTAATCTTTATTATATTAAAATCAGAGCTCTATCATCAAATAATTGTTTTATGATTGGATAACAAACAACTTGGTTTTATCTTTCTTCTCCCTCCTTTTCTTCTTCTTTGTTATTAATTTTATAGAATTGTGGGTTTCATTATGTTAAATCATAATTTTTTTTATTATTCATTTATTCACATGTACATACATTGTTTGGGTCATTTCTTCCCCCTGCCCCCTCTCCCACCCTCTACCCCCTTCCTCCTCCAGTTCCAGGCAGGTCCTGTTCTGCCTTTATCATTAATCTTGTTGAAGAAAAGACACAAGCATAGTAAGGAAGACAAAGTGTTTTTGCTAGTTGAGGATAGCTATACAGAAATATTCCTAGCATTGCTTTCGTGTACACAGGTGTTATGACCCATGTTAATTCCTCTCTAACTGATCTTTACCCTGGTTACTGATCCCCTTCTCATGATAACCTCTGTCACTTTAAGGTTTTTGTATTAGCTCCTCTCTGGTGGGTACATCAAACGCTTTCATGTTTTGAGTTTGCTACCTATTCCTGTATCTCCCGTATGTCCTCTCTCCCCTTGTCATGTGGTATCATAATTTTTATAGACGTTTTCAATTTGGTTATCTGGGGAAGAGAAAGAAGAGAGTGACTTGGTCTCCGCAAGACAACCATGCCTGGAATCCTAAGGGCGGGGAGGGTACCCTATCAGCTCAGGGAAGGGGAGTTGGCAAGGTTCCTGTCACAATGCCCCTGTCTCTGTTGTCACTTCCTGTTCTGAGTTGTCAACAAAAAGGAATCTCCTTGACTTCCGGGAACTCTTAGTCTGAGTTGGCCCAGGTCCAAGATGGGCCAATTTTTATCTTCAACTTTCTTGGAGGGCTCACCAACCACAATTTTGCATGACAAGTTTTTTGATGATGAACACAAAGGATCAGGAGAAAGACTCCCTGTCGCCCATGACCAAGTAATGTACTGGGAAGGAAGGGAACTTTGATTACAGTGCTATCTGAGACGTACATTTCTTGGAGCAGCCAGTCAGGAGCCATGCTATGGCAAGGAGAGGTTGTTCTTAGCCAAAGCCTGGGGGCCATCAGGAGACCACGTTGAGTTTCTACCTGAGGACTGCTTGGCCAGGAGTGAATTTCACTTTTGCCTCAGGTTTTTTTACAGATAACTAGAGTGAAGACAATAAATGTGGGAAGAGAAGTTATAAATAGGATACAAACCTAGAACAAAAAGAGTATTAGAGTGAGTACAATCAGCTAAGTAGAGGCAAAAAAAAAAATGACGTAGAAATAACTTGAAAAGCAGTGTGAGTAACTAGCATGGGGACTTATGTGAATGTATTCAATTTCCTCTAGAAAACCTTTGAGCAACAGTAAACTAAAATTCTGGCCAAAGAACGTTTTTCCCCTACTTTTGTAACTACTTACTAGTAGATTATAAATTATACTCATACTATTTACCAGTACATTAGATTACAAATGTTATATACTGGGAACTAATGGCCTACAATACAACTACACCTTATTTCTAACACAATTAGTTGTTCATAGTTCAGTGAAGTCCTGGTGTTATCGAAGGGAGTCCTTTTTCAAAAAGTTAAAACCAGTTATCCTTGGATAAGCCAGCATTTGTGATCAGATGCTTCTCCCATTTCTGAACTGGGTAAGAAAATTGGTTGTGTTCCCTCTTCTGTCCTCAGATAACTGGCTCATTGGCTGAGACAGATGAAAGCTATTAAAATAATTGCAACTAACTTCTGAATTGTGCTTTTCATCCTTTCAGGACCTTTTATTTACTTTTCTTTGGTGAGCCTTACAAGTCAGTGAGCTAAGTAAGGATTATTATGGGCTTACATTTTACAGCTGAAGAAAGCAAAACAAAGAAAGGCTGGGTGGCTTCCTAAGCTCAGAGGAACCTGAGAGCAGAGCAAGGCACCCCAAGACGCTAGCTGTGATTTCCCTCACCATGGTCTCATGCTTCATAGTTTATAGAGCTCTTCCTGTGACTTTTATCTGACTCGATGTTCTCATGAAGTATGTACAGAAAGTGGTATCATTTCATTTTATATGCATTATCCAGCTGCTTCTCTCTCTCTCTCTGTTTTCATCAGCCAAAAGCTAAAGAAGAAAATCTAGAGAAGTGTGGTGAGGATGAAGAAACAATTCCATCGGAGTACAGACTAAAACCAGTCACGGTACATTTTTTTTGCTGCAGAGCTACAGCAGTACCCTCATCTTGCCGTCACATCATTTTTGTTGTGTCAGTGCCCTTGACACTAAGGACGCATCTGCCCAACTTCAGATATTAACTTTGAAAACTGGACCCTTCCTCCTCTGTTTTCTGCAGTGAAGACCCCTTAATAGGGGGTTTGTCCTTGCCTACCAAAGTAGTGACTAGGTGGTCATTAGAATTCCCACCAATCTAGGACTGCATATGGTGGCATATGCCAGTGATCATAGCTACTTGGGAAGCAGAGAGAGGAGGACCATGGTTCCAGGCCAACTGGGCAAAGTTAGCACAAGATGCTACCTGAAAAACAAATCAAAACCAAAAGGACTGGAGGCATAGCTCAGCCCTGAGTTCAGTCCGTAGAACTTGGAAAAAAAAAAATCTTACCAATTAAGAGTATTTGGAGAGAGGAAGAGGACCAGGAGTAGGGTCACAGTGCATTATATATATGTTTGAAAATGTCATAGTAGACTCACTAGTTTGTACAATAATATATGCTAATGAAAAATCCTACCTAGATAGATGTTTTAACTACTAACAATGCTTGACATAGATTCTTAACCTTAAAGCAGAAGGAGCAATTTGGAAATAATTTTTTCTCTATGGATTAAATTATCATACATCTTCTAGATGGTTGATATAAATGTTAAACTCTTTAGCAGTATTTCAATATTAAGGTAGTTGCATTTGATTTATGGTGAGGATGATGGATCCTATAATTATATTTGTAATTTATTTTTGGAAATCATCCATACAAATTATAGAAAATCTCTGTGATTCCTATTATTGCAAGAGTGATATCTACCTCTTTATCCTAGGCTAGAGAATTAGGACTTTAAAAAAAAAAATCTTTCATTGACATAGTTTCACCTTTTTTGCCAAAGACCTTTTTTTTTCCTTATTCTATTGCCCTAACAGGTAGTAAAAAAATTTTTCAGTAATTTTTAATGAAAAGTAAATGTATATCATACTTAGAAATATTTGTTCTGTAGACCAACTCCTTGTTCTGATACTTTTTAATAAAAAATAAATTTAAAACACAAATTCATTCATATTAGAAAAAATATCGTGGAATCTCCCAAAACAAATGTAATGGGACATGAAAGCAAACTTTTTTTTAAGATGAATTTTCAACTTCATTTATAGGATAAAGATGGAAAACCACTGTTCCCAGAGCCTGAAGAAAAATCCAAGGTTGGAAAATAAGCTTTTTTTCCCCGATACTTAAAAAACATCAAAAATATCAAGTATAAACTTAAATAATTTTAGAAGGCCAAATTTCAGTGTGTAGACTTATGTGCCAACTTGGTATTAAGGAGGGGGGACTTCTAATGGTTAGCTGTTGGCTGATACGTGACTCTTTTTCCTATATTTTAGTGATTATTACTACTAAATACTAAATTTCTAAGACACATTCACTGAACATTAGTAGCTGATGCCAAGAGGGCTTTTAAATTAGATTATGTTAGCATTTAATTTAGAGTTTGATCTAGTCAGGACATACTAGAAATACTCTAAAAATTCTGTGTTTCTTAAGTTGATAAAAACATTGGTTGCCTATCAGTAACATTAATTAATCAATTACTGGGTGCTCAACACTGCATCAAATGCTTTTCCTACTTATCTGAGTCCTCACTGAATGAGAAAGGCGGTATTATGGTATTCCCATTTTACAGTGAGGAAGCTGAGATACAGAGAGCTAATATAAATAATTCAATATCACACAGCTAGAAAATAGCAAGTCTAGCACCCAGAACTCAGGCTATCACTGCTGGGGCCCAGCTTGTAAATTATGTGCCTGTCCATCATAGATTATTTTTATTAATGAAAATATCCACATGCCCTAACCTAGTAACACCACCTCCCCTGAAAGAACTGGGGATACAGAACTTTCCTTTCAGAAACCCTTTTTTCTTTCCTATAGACATAGGAATGTATGATTTGTGTTTTCTAAAGGAAGATATCTGAAATAGAAAAACCATAATCACTTTTCTCTCTTTGGATAAAAGTCTTCTGAAATTGAAGTATCAGGAAGGCTCTTGATTAAATGAAAGGCTCAATACTTTTGTAATACTGAGACATTTATAATTCCTTGTTTTTATCTTACACTGATAAATGTAAAAATCTCCTGTATGTTAGCTTTTGGTTTTAGATTCTAAAATATGTCCTAATATGTGTTAACCAAGAAAAGAAAAACATTGCCCTATGAAAACTTCTGTATATTTCAAGTAGTTATTTCATAATACACAGTGTTTCTTATGTTACAGCCCCTGAGTGAATCAGAGCTCATTGATGAACTTTCGAAAGATTTCAATCAGTCTGAATGTAAAGAAAAACATTCCAAGCCAACTGAAAAAACAGAAGTATGTTTCTGCAAATATAAATCTCTGCATTTGAAGAGTTTTTATGTTTTTTTAATATTAAAATATGTGAAATCAAAACTATTTTAGCATGAAGGAGTTGATTTTTTTTAATGTCCATTATTTTACCTTTTTAACAGTAGTTTTTGTCTTGCCTTCCCCTAGATGTTTTTTCTTTCCCCAAGCTAACCCTGATACTCTCACAACTTAAGTCCTGTGATCATTCCTTCAGGAAAGCTCTCAAATCCATGCTTTCCTTTCTGTTCCTGCTTTTGTAACTGATGGAGTTAAGTTGCCATCACCTGTCACCTCTGATCTCAATGGCTTTTCTTCAGTCTCCTGCCCACCTATCTTTTATTTCCACCAGAACTGTTCTTTCTGAAGTATGTTTATAGTTGCATAAGTCCCCTGCTCCAATGCAGGAGCTTCCTATTCCCTAAAAAAGAAAAGTTACAACTAGTGTATTCTAGCCCCAGCTTCCTTTCCTGCAAAGGTCTGTCCAATGGCTTTTCTCATTCAGACATTTCTGCCTGGACAGTCTTTCCTTCTAATTCTAGAACATAAAGTCTCATTCATCCTTTGAAGGCTCTGCTAACATGCAGCCCTCTTTATCTCCTGACTTTCCCTCCCTTAACCATACTACTCTTCCAACTTTATTAAGAGGAAAACACACAGCAGAGAGTCTATAGTTCTTTTTTTTTTCTATGTCCCTTTTAAAGCATTTATAACAAGCACATTTGTAGCTGTCTTTGTTCTTCTTCAACTCATGTGTATGTAGTTTTAAACAAGTAGTAAGTTCCCTGAAAGAAGTGAGCATGCTCTATTTATGATCTTCTACTGAGTACCTTTCGTATAGGAAGGGCTTTGGTAAATGTCTGGATTAAAAACAATTGGAAATTTTATTCTTGTGATAAGGTAATTCAGTGGTTCTAAAACATTAGTGTACATTAGAATCACCAGGAACATTTTTTTAAAACACAGATTACTGGGCTCCACCCACAGAATTACTGAGTCAATACATTTGGGTGAGGACCCAAGAATCTGCATTCCCAAAAGGGTCCCTGGTGGGGCAGGTTACTTGAGTGGTCCAGTGTCACTCACTTGCACTTGAACATAGCTATTTATAATTTGCAGTATGCTCTTAGACTTATATAAATACATCATTTTATTATGTCCTATTATATCATAGGTATATTTTATACTTAAATATTATATGGCAATAAATAATATTTATATTATAATATATTTAATATATTATATTATATATAATTATTATTACAATAAATAATAATAATAACAGCAGTAGTTTCTCAAGTTTATTGAGTTTAATGTATTCTTGGGTACTGTGCACAGCACTTCTCGTGTTATCTCATTTACGCTCCTATCAACCCTTAAAATGTAGATACTACCACTGTTCTCCTTTCACAGATGGGGAGACTGAATCATTAAGTGGAAATAATGGTCACTGAAGAATTTTAACATGCCTTGACATATACACTACTCAACAGTCTTTAAGCATTCAAAATAATCATGCTTACAACCTGTATCTCAGAGTGTTTTGTTTGTCCATCATTGTTCATTTTTATTAACCAGACATTTCTAAAGTTATTCATAGTACTTATTTCTTTTCCCAGAAATCTAAGGCCACTGTCCCAGCTCCTGTAGCAGAGGTTGTGTCTCAGACCTCCATGTGTAGTATACAGTCAGCACCACCCAAGCCAACTTCCCTGGTGAGTGACTCCTTGGGCATTGGCAAGTGTTGAAAAAGTTCTCTTCTTCCTCCCTTTACTTCCTGTTGTGTATTGCCATCATATTATTTTATTCTGAGAAAATAAAAAAATCTGATATAGTTATATTATTGTTATTTGGGCTTCAGAGGCATGTATATGCTAGAAACTTAGGCTACACTTAAATTTCTAACTAAATTGCTACAAGATGTGTTTTTATTTCATCTTTTGAAATTCTTTCTAGTTCCTCAGCTATTGTCAATAAACCTGCATTTTCTCTTTCTTGCATCTTTCAGACCTATTTGGACTTTAACATGTAGCCCAATGCTACTTTTCTTACTGACTCTCCTGATAGAATTATTTATACCAAAATCAAGAGAACTCCTCCCCACTTTCCAAAATACAGATTGACTCAGTTCCTTCTCCTTTCCTTCATTCTTGCCTGCTTTCTTTCCATCTTTCCTTTCTTCCTTCCTTCCTTTCTTTTTTCTAGTGAAGAACAGAGGTTTATTAAGCAAAAAGGAAAAGAGAAGAAAAGCCTCCTGTGTGGGAAGGGTCTTAGAAAGGCTAAGCACCTCCTTCTTTATTTCTTTTGTATAAAGTATGATATTCAGTTATTTGGAACAACTCTTGTTCCCTTTTTCAGTGGGTTTTGTTTCCTTTATCTGATGATATAATGTGACACAGAGAATCATTACTACACACTCAGTAAATCTACTCTGAATAGCTAACTTTCATCACCACAATGATGTTGCGATATCTTTGCATTCAATTTTTACAAGGTTGTTCTAATCATCTAACTATGAGAGAATAAGGAAAATTATTGACCTCAAACAACCCACCTAACATTTCAGAGCCTCAGTTGTGATGAGAAATATGGCCCCTAATCTTAGCAACCTTCTAACATTTCTATGTGAAAAACAAGCAGAGAGAGTGGGTGAAGGAACCCCACTCTCCAGGCCTTTACAGAGGACAGGATCGCATTGACAAATGGGAATAGCACCATTTTCCAGAGAAATGGATGAGGCAGATCAGACCAGCACAGAAATGCAAAGCACTTCATGTGCTTGGAAAGGTGTTTGAGAAAACGGGGGCCTGGGAAGATTGAGTACAAGTGTCTTGAGTGTTGTGAAGTGGCTGCCTCCTGCCAGAAAAATGCTTCCTGCTAACTGCAAATCTTGACTCCAAGAGCTACCTCTTTCCATAAACATGGGTTTTTTTTTTTTTTTTTAAGACTGGTCTAACTGTGTATCCCTGGCTCTCTCAACTGTGGTCTTCTTGTCTCAGCCTCCCAAGTGCTGGGATTACAGATGTGCGCACCATATCTGGTTTAGGACTTTTTTTTTTGACGTTTCTAGAAACTTTTACATTGTGAAAGTCAGGCCACAGACCTCCTTCAGAAGGAGGGATCTAGGAAAGTTCAGTAACCAGCTATGGAAGCAAAGATAGCACTGTAATCAAAAAGACAATAGCCAGCAGGTGGCTCACGCCTCTAATCGTAGCTACCTGGAAGGCTGAGATCAGGAGGCTTCTGGTTGGAGACCAGGTTAGGCATTCTCAAGCACTTGCTTGGAATAGTAGCACATGCTTGTTATCCCAAGCTGTGCTGGAAGCTGAGATCAGAAGGATTGTGATTCCAGGCCAGCCCAGGCAAAACAGTTTGTGAGACAGGTGGGCACCTGTCATCCCGGTGATGGTGGGAAGCTTAAAATAGTAGGATCAAGGTCTAGGCTTGCCAGGGCAAAAATCGAGTTCCTAGCTCCAAAAAAACCAGAGCAAAAAATGACTGGAGGCATGACTCAAGTAGTAGCATACCATCTCACAACTGCAAAGCCCTGAGCTCAAACCCCAGTATTGTCAAAAAATAAGTAACTAAATAAATTGATTACAATAGAATACACTAGCCAGTTTTCCAGGACAGAGCTCTGGACTCTGGACTAAACCTTGTGCCATCTACCTCTTATGCCAAGTATAAGTGCCACGGAAGGCCTTAGAGGACTCAGTTAGTTCCCTTACCCTGCTGTAGAGAAGTGAGCATTTGAGTTTTAGCGGACAAAAAAAAGAGCACTTGTTTTCCCCTTCCTTCTTGGCTGCCTTTCCTGGGCCTCTGCCCCACCAACTCAGGCCACAGTTGCCAAGGTTACTGTCACTGAGGCAATTGGCATTTTGGGGGAATTGTGACATCCTTGGGAGCCAGAAAGAAAAGTGGTAGAGTCTGATAAAGATTGGCAGCCTCAAGAAAGCATGAGTATTAGTGAGTAAAGGGAAACTGACAAGAGGAAGGAGACAATGCGCGCCCAGGGTGGTTCTTGTGTGTATAGCAGAAGCCTGAGTTCTACTTCTGAGTTTGACAAGATGAAACAATACAGAAATGAAATTTGTAGGCTATAATCTTTCTCTAGGTTCCTTAGTTCTGAATACTGCTTCTCCTAGCTCTTCTTTTTTTTCTTTAATTCCTTCTGTAATTTCTTAAACCAGAGGTTGGCAAAAGGTTTGGAAAGCAATGGTTTCCAAAGGTTCCAGAAATTGGGAGAGTGTCTTGGAGAAGGTAGAAACTCAGAGTGCCTGGATGAGACTTGGGTATCAGTGCAACTCTTGCAAGTTAGATACAATTCCCAAAACAGTTAGAGAGCAGGTATTTTTTTAAATTATTATTCACATGTGCATACATTATTTTGGTCATTTCTCCCCCTTGTTCCCCTCCCCCACCGTCTCCCCCTCCCCCCTCAGTTCCAGGCAGGTCCTGTTCTGCCTTTATCACTAGTTTTGTTGAAGAAAAGAGGCAAGCCTAATAAGGAAGACAAAGTGGTTTTGCTAGTTGAGTTGAGGGTAGCTATACAGAAATATTCCTAGCATTGCTTTCATGTACACATGTTATGACCCATGTTGATTCATCTCTAATTGATCTTTACCCTGGTTACTGATCCCCTTCTCATGATAACCTCCATTGCTTTAAGGTTTCTGTGTTAGTTCCTCTGGAGTGGGGACATCAAACGCTTTCATGTTTTGGGTTTTCTATCTATTTCTATATCACTGAAATACGCTTTCCCCTTATCTTGTGATCCAAGTCCAACCACATTGCTGCATTTGCCCTAGATCTAAAGTCTACATATGAGGGAGAACATACGATTTTTGGTCTTCTGAGCTTGGCTGACCTCACTCAGAATGATGTTCTCTAGTTCCATCCATTTACCGAGAGCAGGGATTTTTGTTGTTGATTCTGGTAATAAAAAAATCTGTGCAGTTTCCAGCCACTAGGTGGCAGCAAATTACTTTCCTCTGGTTATTCTTGCTTTTGTAAGCACATTTTACCAGAAAAAGCGTTGTTCTTACTTGGAATGATGATGGCTAAAATATATAAATCAGAAAGAAACTTTTTTGGTAAAATTCCAGTAAATCTTCAATATGAGGTCAGAAATTTTCATGATGAGACTTGGACTTTTATGCTTTTGTTTGACCAAGATCAATAGTAGAAAAGTCTGTATATTGAAACTCAGTGCCCACATAACAGAGAATGCAGTTTAATGAATGGTGCTTAACCATGTAATGCAATGTAACATCTGCATTACACTTCCGTCTGACTCATTTCAGAACCGGTCCTAGCCATGAACCATTCAATTGATTTTTCTAAGCCACTAACGTATGGATCATAACCCAGTTTGGAAAAACCAGAGCTCATCCCATCTTTTAGTCTGAACATGGGTCCTTCTTTATTTTCCTTTCCCATCATTTACGCTCTGTGCTCATCTGTTTATTTTGAATACCAGTGTGGCCAGAGCTCCTATCATAAGAGTTCATTTCACTTTGAACAACTGGACCAGGTAGATGGTGCTCATTGCACCCTTAGGGTAGTTGGTCACAGGCAAGGTCACCTGAACTATATGTGATTCACTATGACCAAGAGAAGCCCCAGAGAAAAAAAGCATGCCTCTCCCCTGAGACTGGCCAGGCGGCCTGATAGAAAATAGGAATGCAGGTTCTCTCCTGGACTTTCTGAAAATCTTTCCTGTATTGTTTGTGAAACAACCTCCATAAAGACCACTTTTCTGTCTTGTTTCTGTTTTTAGCTTTGCTTTCTTTCCTTATCTTCCTTGTTTCTGGACCCAAACTCTGACAAGATCTTGTTAAGTTTTTTAGCATGAATATAGAAATTTCACATACTTAATGTTTATTACAAGAAACTTGTTTTAATTTTTGACATTTAAAGTTTTCTAAACATCAATTCTAATTCAATTGATAACCCAAATTATTAAATGATAACGTATGCTTCTTAAGTACATGCATTTCTGAATTGATACGGACTATTCTAAAGGAGGGAGTAAGCACCTACTTAGCATATCAGCATGTATCCTTTCAGAAGGGCAAGATGCCAGATGATGCTGTAGAAGCCTTGGCTGGTAGCCTGGGGAAACGGGAAGCAGATCCAGAAGATGGAAAACCTGCAGTGGATAAAGTCAAGGTAATGGCAGCTCAGGGACTTCCAGAAAATGACTATCATTGATCATCCCCTTCCTTCCAATAAGTTAATCATTTGGTTTTTTCTGTTTTAATATTCTCCAAAAAGCATCACCTGATTTTCTCTGTTTCTGTGCATGTCATATTTAATAGCTAAAGCTGAAGAAGCCCCAGTGTTTAACCATCACAGTGGGTGCTATCTAGAAGGCACATGTCTAAGTTCTCTGAATCTTACCTTTGTCCACCAGTGTTCCATTGCTGAGGACGTTGAGAGAAGTGGCAGATACTACTGCTCTTTCAGTCTTTTTAGTCTCATCTGCTACATAGTATCTGAGCCTACAAAACTTGGAAACAGTGTTAAAAATGTAGCCATATGTGTGTTCAAGGTTACCTTGAACTTACACACTCAGAATTCATTTTATAGGAAAAAGATGTACTGATAATGAAAATGATATGACTTTTATTCAGGAGAAGTCCAAAGAAGAAGACAGAGAAAAGCTTGGTGAAAAAGAGGAAACGATTCCTCCTGATTACAGATTAGAAGGGGCCAAGGTAAACAGACTATTTTCATGTTTTGTTTTAATTCGCACTGAATTTCATATATATAAAGAAGGGATGGGGGAACAGACCTAGAATATGAAGCTCTTGTTGCTTAATGTTTCATACATTAAATAGTATCTGTTCACAAATATCTTGTTAGAGTACCAGGTATGAAGGTAACAATATTTCTAAGTGGCCTTTCCATCCTTATACCTGATGTTTTCTCTTCAAAACATGGTTTGTTGTTACACTAACAGAAACATGAGAATGCCTTAGACAGATAGGAAAACCAAAATGAGGAACAATTATTTCCTGTGAGGAAAACTTTGCAGCTATTAGGTATAAGTTTAAAAAAATGAGAGCCTGCTTCAGATTTAGTACAGTAAGAAGTTGACCCATTTCCTCAGTGTTGAAAGTGCTGGTTGTACAGAACAAGTGACCTAGGGAAACAGTCCATTACAAATCTCATAATTTTAAGTACAGTTATTTAAAGGGGCAGATGTATGGACAAGTGAACAAATTTCAATCATCTTCAATGCATGTCACTAGTTAAATCTTATTAGCAATTACAAGAAATTCACATTTGTAGTCCTAACTCACCCATATGCACTAGTCCATTTATTTGGCAACTCAGAACTTTACTGAATTACTCCTGATTAAAAACTTACTATCTTGACACCTTTATTCAACTTCCTTTCAGCATTTCCCAATGCAACTCAAAACCATGGAATTTCTATTAATTTAGGCTTATTTTTGTATTGCTTTGCAGATTCTTAGAGAGTGTCTTCAGGGCTCCATACCTGTCTCCACTGAACCCTGTTCAGTAGAAGTTGCAGTTAACTCTACCTTGACTGAATTTTAGTAACAGTATTTCAGAGATTAGCTTTCCTTGACTCATTCGTTCAATGATAGTTTCTTTCTCTTCTAAACTTATCTCACACACGATTATTTGCCTGTAACATTTGCTTTCTGGCATTTCCGGGCATTGGCTTGATGTCTTGTTTAAATGCCATATTGTTACTCAGCAGCTATGCTCATATAAGGCCTCTGAGGTCAGTGAGAGTCAGCTCCCTGAGAGCAGACCTCAAGCTTCCCCTTCCAGACGTTATGGTGAGGTGACCGAAGATGTATTTCAATTTCAGTGTGCAGTAAAAGAGCCCCAGAGTCCCATTCATCACTTGGACATTAACTGCCTCTGCAACTAAGGGATAGTGGAGAACAAGCTCAGGTTCTTCTTTCTTTCCTGATGGAAAATGGATCAGAAAATGCACATGAACTCAGAGAACATGGAAAGGGGTAAAGGAATTTGTTATTCGCAAGAGAAGCAGGTTATATCTCTAAATCACTGCATCTCATATATTAAATACACAAAACAAAGAAAACCCTACCTTGAATAATTTCTCAGGAGAAATCTTCATATATATCCTACTTATTTTGTGTGTGTAGATAAATGGAATTTACCATTAATGTATAGATCTTCTTTTACTAAAGAGCCCCAATGCTTAATTAGTTTTGTCCTGTTACTCACATGGGGCTCTTAGAGTCATTTAAAACAGCACAGTCTGAGCCTTTGGTTTCAGAGCATCCCACTCACAAGACATGCTGTTTTCTTTTTTTTAATTGTATTTCTAATCTTTAGATCAGGGCTTGATACATAATCAATCCATGTGAGTTGGATGAATGATTTACAATGTTAACCAGCATTTCCTAGGCAACCTCTGAGAAACCCAGTGCCAGGAAGGTGAGGGGCTGGTCCTACACTGTCCTGCAAATCTCTGTCACGACACCATGTACCACATTACAGTGATTGTTCACATTTTTTTCCCCCTGGGCTAGTGTCTGGGTTTCTGGAGTCACAAGCCAAAGGTAATCTAGTATGCAGGCCTCTTGTTTTCGGAAGGACTGGTGCGTGTGAAATGACTGTTGACCTGAACTAATGAAAGTGTATTCTCTGCTACGAGAATTTGTTTCATGATATGCTGAATCTACTTTGAAATGTATAATAGGAGGTTTAGCCTATTGAGTCTTTGTAATGTGGACACATTAGAATAAAGTGTAAAATGATTCATTGCCATGTTTTTCTCCCAAATAGGATAAAGATGGTAAACCACTCCTACCAAAAGTGCCCAAGGAACAGCTTCTAGTAAGCAAACCAATTTTCTTTCAGTGTGTCTGTCTCCTTTTGGCCCTGATTGATAATTTGGGAGGGGATAGCTTTACTTTTAGTGAGTTAATCAGCATGTAATAGCAACAGCATTTTGAAGAGGGGACATATCAGTGATGTTTTGTTGACAGACTTCCCACTCCTTGCAGCCCATGAGTGATGACTTCCTTCTTGATGCATTGTCTGAGGACTTCTCCAGCACCTCAGATGCTTCTGTTCTTGTAAGTCTGAAACTTCTGGTTTGTTTTTAGTAGAAATAAATGAAAACTTGTAACTTAGACTATAACCTGTAAGCTGAGGGGGAAAAATCACAAAATTAATGGTAGCTGCTAAAAATATGCTATACAGTGAAATATTGTTCCAGAATAGCAGCTACTTCCAATAGTCTAACTGATAAGACCAAGAACTTTATCAAGTACCTTTATGAAAAGAGAATTTAAATTTGACTTTATCCAAAATTACTTCCCAAATTGCCTCTAAGGAAACTTAGCTCCTCTTTGAATAGATAATCTCTCAAAGGGAATTCTGTTGCTGGAAAGTTTTGAAAATGTTGGAACATGTGGGTTTCTCTACTGTAGACCATTCATGGCTTCTTATACACAAGCACATATTTATTGGAGTTCCCAAACTTATATACTAAGGTATATGGGTAATCTATTTACAGAGAATCCAGTGTCTAAGCCACTGAATGAATGTTTTGATGGCAGTTGTGACATGGAAAATATATCATTTGGGAAATAGAATGAGAAGAAATAATGATTCCTTGGTGTTGTCTCAAGTGTTTCTCTTGCTAAAGCACTAGCCCTCTAAGAAGGGGTAACTTAATCTGTGCATGCTCCTCACTGCACCCCTTTAAAAACACTGTACCACAAAGTGACCCTATCCTATGACCTTCCTCTCGTCCTCCTCCACACACGCAGAACATATCACAGAAAGGGAAACAGTCATAAATCATAAGATACAGGGAAAGATACAACATGGGTAGTGTTCCAGGAACATAAAATCATCTTATTACAATAATGTAGAACATATGAGCCAATTGTGGGGAAACAAGGCCTAATTCCTTCTCATCCTGATTGCCATGTTTATTATTACCATAGTCAGAGTTCTTTCTATTTTAGAAATTTAAAGATTTGGAAATTGTAACATTGAATCTATATTGGCCACTACCCAAGATGGTGTGTAAGCAGAGAAATGACTTAAAGTAAATAAACTACTTTTAAAAAATCCTACACTGAAAAATTAACAATATAGCAAATGAAAAAAATCACTAGTGTCAACAGTATAAGGAGTAAACTAGAAATAACTGAATGTGATAAAAATCAAATAGACCAACTAGAAAATAATTGGAGAATAATCCCAAGAACTTTGGGGAGAAAGTATCATATATTGGCTCATAATATTCAAATGTGCCAGAGTGACAACTGTATACCATGGTCTTTAATCATAATAAAATAGAACAAATATTCTATTGAAATAGAAATTTAAAATATCTCCCTAATACTGAAGTCAATAAATAAATTCAGAATAAACTATTTTTAAAATCAAGAAAACATTACAAATTAAAATCTTTGAGAAGCAGCTAAAGCAATACTCATCAGATGTATTTATCATATGCCTTTATCAGTAATAGAAAGCAAAACTTGATAAACCAAGTGTTTATTGAATCTTCAGTTTTCTAAAAGCTGTAGTAAAGTAACCACCCAAAAGAAGAGCAGCCTAGGACCATATGAAGCATAGCCCTAAGCATACCAAGAGAAGAAAATGGCACCCAACAGTTGTTTCTTATGAAAAAAACCAACACTTTGTAAAATACTGGCAAATGTAAGAGGGAAAAAAAAATCTTACAAATAAGATAAAATTTTAAAATGAGAGCACAATTAGTACAAGACATCAACATAATTACTGATACTTCAAAACCAATCAGTGATGTTTATGAATGTATAACATTTTATAAAGCACTGGCAGATATAAAAAGAAACCATCTTATAAATAAAGTAAAATTTTTAATGTAAAAATAAAAAGATATAGCAGGAAGTACAATAGATAAATTATTAGGAAACACTGTCCAATAATTTTCTATGAAATTTTAAGCAAAAATGCAAAACAGTACAATTTGTAAAATCTAAACAAAGGAAAACTGAAGAAGAAGTTGGAACTGTCCTCAAACTTTCCTTCCATCATAATTTTAAACATAATTCTTTTTTTTTTTTTTTTTTTGGGACAGCTAAGTTGCCCAGGCTCACCTCAAACTTCCTGAGTAACCCAGGTTGGCCTTGAACTCATGATCCTCCTTCTTCAGCCTCCCATATACTGGAATTATAGGAATATACTACATGACTGACTAAATAATTATTTTAAATTTTTAACACTCAGTTTCTGTGTAACATAAATATGTTATGAAAAAGATAGTGTTCTACATAGTTGCTCATTACAAATAATTATGGTCTAAATATTAAAATCTTGCTGAATGTAGCAATATCAACAAAGTCACTTAAATCTATAGTTGTAAAAAAAATGCTGAAATAGACTATAAGAAGGTATTTCAGTAGTTGCTTCTCAGTATCATAAACATTCACCAAATGTGAATAATTAAGTTAATTAGTAAATAATTAAGTAACAATTATGTTAATTAGTCCTATATGATATATATTTGTTCTTTTACCTATATTCGTGTTTTAAGTAAAAACCTTGGAAGGGTAGTTAACCCTTTGATGTGATAAAGAGTATTAATTTCATTCAAATGGCCAAAAAACACATGAAAAAATGCTCACCATCCCTAGCAATAAAGGAAATGCAAATTAAAACCATGCTAAGATTCCACCTCACCCCTGTTAGAATAGCCATCATTAGCAACACCATCAACAACAGGTGTTGGCGAGGATGCCGGGAAAAAGGAACCCTCTTACACTGTTGGTGGGAATGTAAACTAGTACAACCACTCTGGAAAAAAATTTGGAGGCTACTTAAAAAGCTAGACATTGATCTACCATTTGATCCAGCAATACCACTCTTGGGGATATACCCAAAAGACTGTGACACAGGTTACTCCAGAGGCACCTGCACACCCATGTTTATTGCGGCACTATTCACAATAGCCAAGTTATGGAAACAGCCAAATGCCCCACCACCAACGAATGGATTAAGAAAATGTGGTATCTATACACAATGGAATTTTATGCAGCCATGAAGAAGAACGAAATGTTATCATTCGCTGGTAAATGGATGGAATTGGAGAACATCATTCTGAGTGAGGTTAGCCTGGCCCAAAAGACCAAAAATCGTATGTTCTCCCTCATATGTGGACATTAGATCAAGGGCAAACACAACAATGGGATTGGACTTTGAGCACATGATAAAAGCTTTAGCACACAAGGGAGGGGTGAGGATAGGTAAGACACCTAAAAAATTAGCTAGCATTTGTTGCCCTTAATGCAGAGAAACTAAAGCAGATACCTTAAAAGCAACTGAGGCCAATAAGAAAAGGGGACCAGGAACTAGAGAAAAGGTTAGATCAAAAAGAATTAACCTAGAAGGTAACACACACACACAGGAAATTAATGTGAGTCAACTCCCTGTGTAGCTATCCTTATCTCAACCAGCAAAACCCTTGTTCCTTCCTATTATAGCTTATACTTTCTCTACAACAAAATTAGAAATAAGGGCAAAATAGTTTCTGCTGGGTATTGAGGGGGTGGGGGGGAGAGGGAGGGGGTGGAGTGGGTGGTAAGGGAGGGGGGTGGGGGCAGGGGGGAGAAATGGCCCAAGCCTTTTATGCATATATGAATAATAAAAAAAGAGTATTAATTTCAAGAGTCAAATATTTAATATCAAACTAAAAACATTTTCCTTAAAAACAAAAACTGAAAAGTTGACCTTATTGTCATTTCTGCTTGATGTTATATGGAAAGGAAATGGCAAACATTGAAAAGGAATACTTGCATATATACTTATAGATATGATTATTTGTGGATTACACATTTGTATATGACATTATGTATGCTACATATGTTATTGGCAGATTAGTAAATATAATTGTGAGATGTCATATTTATGTAAAGAATGCTACAAAAGAAGAAATGAATAAAGAAGTAAAGACATGCAGAGATAGAAAACTGTAATAAGACAGCTTAACTGTCCTAAAAGAATGATGATTTCCTCAAGTCATTTTATAAGCTTATTAATTTTGTTATTAAACTAGCAATATGGTACCTTATATAACTCAATAAAATTATTCTAAAATACACTTGAGAAGTAAGTGTATAAATATGAAAAACAAAAGTGTTTTTAGGAAATACTGGCCCAACTAAACATCAATATATATCATATAATAATATAAATAAGCACAACAGTCCGAATTCAGAGAGTAAACTTATAATGTAGGCCACTGGAAAATTGAGAAGTAGATGTAAGCAATAGATTTAGTGTGTTTTTGAAAAGAGTGAGAATAAATCATTATGTCAGAAAGTTTCTGGAATAATTTATTATACAACATTGAGAAAAATAATACAACTAAAATCTCACACCATATACCACAGTATTTAAGCAAAAATAGTACATCATTTTGCACCTTTTATATCATCAGAAATAAAAATATGTGAGAAAAATTTAATTCTGGCAAGCAAGGCCACAGGAAAACAGGTGTACTCATTCATATTTTTAACAGTATGAACTCCTAGCTACTTCTGAGAGGGCAGTCTGGCAGAATACAGCCAACACTGTAAAAAAAGAAAAAAAAAAGACCTACATGTAGAATTTATGTAGAGCAATTGATTACAAAATACTTGAAAAACTTTAAACAAGCTGAATGTGTAAACAAAACAAAGAACTGGAAACCATTAGATTACTGAACAAATTTAAAATAATAAACATAAACTAGAAATAGGAAATCATATAAAATCATACTATTGAAATGAAAGTAGGAAAATTGCTTTTAAGATTGTGTTACTGCACATGTATTTGAATCAAGAAAATAAGTAGTCATAAAGTACTTAAAAGCTGTATTTAAAGTGATGACATTGTGGGTATAATTTTATATTCAACATGTTAATGATGAAACTGTTATTTTTAATCAAAGAAATTCGAAGATGCTAAACTTTCTGCTGCATCTCTGAAGTGGTTTCCCAAACCCCTGCTTCTACCACCAGTGCTGCAGCCCTGCCCCCCAACACTGCGGTAAGCAACATGTCTTATTTGGGAGATATATAATCATTCTAGCAGTAGCAACATGAAAGTAGAATACCTGCTTTGGAGCAAATGAAAATAGATAAAATTCTTAGCAAGATCAGGCACCTTTCATTTCAGAAGAGCTTTAGGATTGATGATTTAGCAAGAAGGCAGAGAATACCTGTAAAATGATTAAGTGAAATAATATTTTACTCACAGTCAAGGAAATTATTGTCACTTTATCATCAGAATTATAAATGCAGTGAGGTGGAGTGTATGTACATTTTAATTACTATATTTGAAAAATTCAGCTTTCCTGATAATTGATTTTTTCCTTTCTATTTTCCCTGACACATTTACCACCCAGTGTTTAACCTCAAGTTTATTTTATGGAATTGCTCAGTGTTTGAGCTTCTTCAAAAACTTTCTTACAGACATATCATGGAATAGCATTGTTTTCCTCCCATTCACACTAGTAAAAATTTGTCATTTTCATGCTAGCAATAGAAAAACCTTGGCATCAATATTGTTTTAATTATTTACATATTTTGAGGCAAGATTGTGGGACCAAAGCTTTTCCAGACTTCCTTAATTATCTGTGCAGTGCCAAACTATATATTATCCATGGCACATCAAAAGATAAAGGGGTTGCCCTATTTTCTATGGTTGATCCTCATTTTCTGTTGTTGAGAAGAGTACTCATTTACTAGATGCAGTTTCTTTAGTGAAGTCAGCTATGCTTCCTTTCCTTTTGATGTAGCAGGAAAGCTTAATTAGTGTGGTACGATCAGATTCTGTTGGATTTGCATCCTGTTGGGTCAGTTCAAGATCATATGAAAATATCCAGAGGCATAGATGACAGAACCCAACCATGGGTAGCTCCACCATTACCAGCTATAATCCTGGGCTCTAATGAAGCACTTAAAACCAGGAAATGCCATGTGTGTGTGTGGGAGGGAGATTGTTACACACCCAATGATGAAAGTCCCAGTGCAGCAGAAAGAATAAGTAGTAATCCAGGCTGCAGTCTGCATTCAGTTCTTAATCACACATTCAAACCAGAGGTCTCACCCTGACTGAGGCTGCTAGAAAGCCTTAGCAAACACAAGCCTCCACCTTTCACAATGACATTTCAAAGATGCACCTTTCCCGTTAAAGAGACTAGTTTTAGTCAACATCTTATTTGAGGATGACACTAAAGCTAGGTAAAAAGAGTCAACTAAACCATCATAATTCATGTGAATTTTCTTTGCCGAGGATATTAGACTCTTCACCAGAAGTTACATACACATAAAATGTCTTGAGGTGTCTGTCAATGAGCTGTATAATAAAATCACCCCAGCAGGAAAATTTTCTTCAGAAGGACATGGAAGATCCTGGATATGACTGAGCAAAACAAAGAAAAGCTCTATATGTTATCAGCCCCAAAACCTGGGTTTCTTTCCCTGGTTAGCAGTATGTCTACAGGCAGTTGACTTAGCTTCCCTGAGTTTGCCTTCTTCCTCCAAAAAATCCTGCTGCTCTACCCTGATGGGCCATCAGCTAAAACTGGGCAAAGCACATGAAACACTTTGGAAGCAATGAAAGTTCTGCTTAGTGTAGGACAAAGCCTAGCAGATATGTGCTGCTAGATATGAAGTGCATTTGAAATTGACTTTATGTACATACAAAGTGAATTCATCTAGACATGCATGTTTAACACTTTGAATACACTGTGCTGAAAAAAAACTTAGTGTTTCACTATATAATATTATTAATAATAATGTGTTATTGTGGGCCATTGTAGAATCTTCTCAGCAACTTAGGAGTATAGATGTTGTTATTATTTGCATTTCAAAGCTGAGAAAATTGAGGTTCAGAGAGGTCAGATCCCGTGCTTGAATCATACAATAAACAAACGTTAAAAGAAATAAATTATTTTAGTTAATTTTCTATTGTTCTTCTGGCCATAATTTCCACCCTCCTACAACACCAGCTCCAACTCATTTCTGCAATTTAATTTTCAGGGGCTTCCTGAAGGTAAAGAGAGATTCCTTTATGTCTCTCACCCCAAATGAGGCACAGAAGCCCTCCTCACTCTTGTGACAGACACCAGATTGTCTATGGGGTTTTGTGCTCTAGGAAGAATCAGGTGGCAGTGCTGGATTCTACAGCTTCCCACAACCTGCCTTTGGTCCTGCTCTACTTTGTGAAAAAAAAAATATACTCTTCTGGATCTGATCTTCAAGTGTACCCACAAAACCAAAGAGTCCCTCATCCTGAGTTCAAAGTCCTGCTTGCTAATCATCTGACATCAGTGGTTGTCATATCCAGTTTTTTTAAAAATCATGTTTCATTTCTAAATGCAAGCAAAGTGATAGATTCGTACGGTTTTTAATTGTCTAGGTGACTTCTAGGTTACCTGGTTTGGTGTGGCCCCTGATAAGTGCCCTAAGACTTCCTTAGGCTGGTAGGATTTTCGCAGGGTGGGCAGATGGTATTAATCCGCCAATCTTAGGTTGACAGATGTTGTTGCTTTTTCTCCCTTGCTCCACCACTGAACATCTTTGTCTTCAAGAAAAGAGGTTCACTCCTGAAAATACGGGGTTCCTGGGCTGGCTTCTCTGATACAGTTTGGACAACCCCGTGACTAATTCAGATTTATTACTTTTTAGCAAAATGATAAAGAACTTGATGATGCCTTGGATAAACTTTCTGACAGTCTTGGGCAAAGGCAACCTGACCCAGAGGACGACAAACCAATGGAAGATAAAGTAAAGGTAAAAAAGTCACACATTTGTGAAATGTCAAGCTTCTGACATTATGTGTGGTCAGCATAGTTGGATAACTTGTCTCATTTTCCTCTGCTCCATGGTCTGTGTTGCACCTCTTTATTCCTCACCAAGGAATTACGCTCAGGTAGATTCCTTTATAGGCAAATGCCCTTTTCGTGAGACCAGACTTTGTTTTGGTGCAACTACACAGTTACGTTTGGTTCATTTTATTCTTCTCCTGTTTTTTTTCTTGGAATAAGGACACCATACATGTTATACCCATACATGTGCATTTTTAAAGTGGACATATTCTGTGCTTGTGGTGACAGAGGTCACGTTAGATAGAGATGACACCAGCAATCTTTTTTGCTGGCATACTTAAGTCTGAGTTCAAACGCTAGCTGAGAGAGTCTTGGGCTAGGAGGTCAGCACTATGCAGAGGTGTGTCCAGAAGGATCAACTAGTTAATGCTGCACATTTTATACAATATGCAATACTTACAGTCCATTTCACTGTCATGATCATAGCTTAGAACCAAGAAGTAAGTAACTGGCCAGCCAAAATAATGTCCCAAAGACAATGTCATTGTCATTATGTCATTATCAAAGGAATATTGATTGAATTGAACCTATATTTTAAAAATAAAATTGTAGTGATGCATAAAAACTTAATCTGTACTCCACTGGGAGGAGGGTCACAGACTCTGTGATAGAGATCAGCGGAGCCTGGTGATGCCAGGGCAGGTACAGCCTGCTCACCGGCTGGTGTTTCCTCAGCTGCATCGCAAGGGTCAGCATTTCCATTTGGATTTGCTCCTTTCCTGTCTCAGGGCTGCTTAAAAATAGTCAAAGTTGTAAATATTACCTCCCTATATGCCAAGGTCTGGTGATATGATTTTTAATTTGAAAAGTGAAATTCAAACAAAAATAAACGTATTTTATACCTTGAATTTTTTATCCCTAAGTGTGGTTTCTGAGGGTAATTATTTAATCTTTTATTTCAATTTAAAATGCAGATAGAAAATTCACAGATATGAGCTGACGTACAGACACATGTAGGTTTACATTTTTTCACCAGCTGTCTGTTGTCATATGTTTATTGTTCTATAGCTTAAGAAATAAAACAGACCATATGTTTTGCCTCAGAAAAGTACAGTAAGTGCTGTGTGCTGTGTTTTAGAATGTATTTTCTAAGTGAAGGAGAAAATGGATAGTCATTATATCTGTTCAATGTTTATAGGAAAAAGCTAAAGCAGAACATAGAAACAAGCTGGGAGAAAGAGATGACACCATCCCACCTGAGTATAGACATCTCCTGGACAATGATGGGCAGGTAAACTGAGGCAAATAGCTACATTGAATTTATATTCCACAGCCTTTTAAATTAAAACCTCTCTTGAAATGAAGAGAAGCTGTACTTTTGTAATAGCATAAAAATATATTGTGACTAAATGATTTTAATGTGCCTCCAGAGGTAACAAGCAGGTTGTCTAGAATTCTGTTAATATTTATTTGAACCAGCATCATTAGATATTCATATTTTGGGCCCTGTGGTATAAGGAGTTAAATAATATTCACTTACTGATGCTTAACAAGAACTCCAAGAAACATACAAAGAAGAATTTTGTCAGGAAAAGACTATAAAAGTGACTAGAGCAATGGGATTTCAGAAGAAGCTAGTGTTAGAATAATGAATGGCTGGAGGTGTGGCTCAGTTAGCAGCACTGAGTGGGATATTGCTTAAGTGGTAGACACCTGCCTAGAGGAGAAATAAATAAGACATCTCCCAACTCCAAGACTTGGTCTCCCTTTCTTCTATACCACCACGAGCACGGGTGAGTACAAGGACATGCAAAACCACTTCACAATCACAAGTCCTGTTTTGCTGTCAAGAAGTGCCGGCCTTTTTTTTGTAACTAGAAGCCAGTTTTTCTTACATTGACCTGTTCCGCTCATACCCCTACTTTCCTATTTGGCTCCTACTTTAGAGTCCGAGGATATATAACCCTTTCCAGGCCTGCCAATCAGTTAAAAACAAGGAAGACTGAGTTCTATCCTTCTCTTTCTATACTGATTCACTTGGTGGAAACAATTCTCCTTGCTTGTGCTGAGTATTCATAGAGATAGAAATTCTGCATTTTGCTAGACTCCTCCCCAGATTGATATTGCCACATCACCCTGCTTGAAATCTTTAGGAAGTGTATTACTTAATACCCTTGCCTTTGAAGATGGAGAAAATCCCTATTACTTTAGTTGTATTTGTAATCCTGTGTGAAGATAATCTTCAAATCCATTCAAAGAACAGTAGGCTTTAGTATGACATAAAAACACAAACCATCTTTTGTAACATTTTAACAATCATAGAATTTTAACACTTGATGGCATAAAGTTCCTACATAGTATTTGTGTCACTTTTAGGACCAGACTCTTACATTTCTCCCAAGGCCACTGACATGATTACAAATGTAAAGAAAAGTTGGTAGATAAACAGTTGGGACCCTAGTTTACCAGTTACTACAAATCTATACTGCATTTTACCCAAATCAAGTCATTGAATTACAAATTCAATGTAATTCAATGTAAATGTATAAATTGAATTTGTAATTCAATGTAAATGTATAAATGCTGACTATACCTAAGTAAACCATTATGAAGATCTGTGTTTAACCAGAAATCTTCCTTGTTTTTGAGGACAAGCCAGTGAAGCCACCTCCAAAGAAATCGAAGGAATTAAAGGTAAATACCATAGTAGTTATGTTTCCATTGATTTTTTAATTCTAGTTATAGCTTTATTTTGATTTAAAAACAAACTAAAATTAATTGAATGCCTTTCCTGGGCTTTGTCCTATGCCAAGGTATATATATAAGTATATGTGGTTTATCTCTTACTTATTCCTCACAGAAACTCTTTTTTAAAGATAGTACTGTTTTCAGGTGAGAAAACAAAATAGAGTATCAAGATTTTTATGTTTTACCATCTTCTGTACAATATGTCATTGCTAGGAAATGAGTGTCAGCAAGTTTATTTGTAGTTAACTTTTCTATCTTTAACTGATGTGAGAAAATGCCACACACAGCATTCGCCCTGTGCTTTTTTGTTGATGGCTGTTCCTGTTAATGTCACAGACCCCTGATGATGACCAAGACCCCATTGATGCTCTCTCAGGAGATTTGGACAACTGTCCCTCAACTCCAAAAGCCTCACAGAACACAGAAAAGGTACTGTGCCTTTTCATATGGACTTCCTTTGAAATATAAATCTATATAGTCATATAGATTTATATATGCATATGTCCACATGTGTACATACGTGTAATCTGTAAACTGTAGAATGAATTTGGTGATGCTAGAGAGAACCTGAAAATAAAGAAAAGAAATAATAATTCCACAACCCCACAAGCACTATTATTTGGCATATTTGCTTTGTCTTTTTCTATACACATCTTTTACAAAGTTATATTTGTCTCCATTTAAATTACATTGCTCACTATCATTCCATCAGTGTTTTCCATGTTGCTTTTCCCAAAGCTATCATTTCTGATTGCCTCACTGTGTTGTGGTGTGACATTAATGCTGTGTCTGTGTTCATTTGCAATGACAAAGTCCCTAAGTTCCGAGGCCCTATCCTGCTGGAGTTTCCTCCCTCTGTGCCCAGCTGGTTGACTCTTCCTCACCCCGCAGGGCTCAGTCCAAGCATTGGCTCCTCCAGAGTACATCTTGCATCCACATCTTCCTCCCTTCCCAGGGCACACTTGACAGCCTCTCACCCCCACTCTCCCTGCACTCTGGTTACCTGTCTGGCATGTATATCGCACCACTGAGCTGAATGCTTTATACAGTAGTGATGGGTCTTTGACCTTTATGCCTAGCAATAGCCAAATACTTGGTACTTAGAAGATGCTCTAAACATATGATTAAAGATGAATGAAAAACTAATGTGTAATTCAACAAGCATGGGGCATTTTCCTATAAGCTGCATCCTCTCATAAAGAAAACAGAAAGAAATGTGAATGAATACCCTTGTCATTTTCAGAATAAACTGGGCAGATCTCAGTTTGCCATTGTTTTGGCTGTTTTTAAGCAAAGCTCCCAATTACTGAACCCTTCACACTGGGCAACTCACTGGGCACATAGTGTCCTACTTCTCACTCCTGGAAATTCCTAAAGAAGACCTGTTTTTGGTAGATGGACTTTATTTTTGCATGTAACCTACTCCAGCTCTCTGCATTTCTTTCCATTGTTACATTTCTCCACCACAAAAGCTGAAAACAGAAAACAGTGGCTTGGTTTTACTTTATTGGCACATAAAAGTCAATCCCCATAGAGACAGCTCTGATTTGTTTGTTTTTTTTAAACACTTGATTTTAAAAGCAATTTTTGTATATTTAAAATTTACAACATGAAGTAGTGAGATACACATAGATAGTAAAGTAGTTAATACAGTACAGCAGAGTAATGTATTTGTCATCTCATACTTTCTTGTGACAAGAACAGCTGAAATATACTTATTTAATAAAAATCTCTGATACAATATAGTTTTATTAACTTTGATCTTCATAATATGCAATATCTATCTAGACTTGTTCATCCTACTTACTTATTTTGTATATTTTGGCTTACATCTCCCATTTCCTCACCCTGCCCAGCTCCTCTCTGCCCATGGTAACCATTTTTATTCTCTGACTCTGCATGTTTGAGCTCTTTATTTTGTTTGTAAGTGGAATAATGCAGTATTTTTCTTCTGTCTGGTGTAGTTCACTTAGCATGATGTCTTCCAGGTGCATCCATGTTGTGGCAAATAGCAATGTCTTCTTTTATAACGCTGAATAGTATTCCATTTTCTTTATCCATTCATTCATATAAGTTTATTTAGTTTGTTTCCATATCTTGGCTATTTTGAAAAATACTGCAATGATCAGATGAATGTGGGTATCTTTAATGAGGTATTGGTTTCATTTCCTTTGTGTATATACCCAGAAGAGGGACTGCTGGGTTATATGGTTTTATTTTCAGTTTCTTTAGGAACTTACATAATGTGTCCATAATAGATGTACCAATTTACATTCCCACCAGCTGTACACTAGGATTTCTTTTCTCCACAGTGACCATTGCTTGTTATCTCTTGTCTTTAGGGTGACAGACAAGCTACTTTCTGGTACAAAGAACAAAATTTGGGTCAGACATGTACCATGGAAGTTAGCAGGGCACCAGTGTGATCCACATTCCCCTTCCGATTTTTATTCTTTTTGCCTCCTGTCTTAAATACTTTTGAGTACATTCACCCTTGTCAAAAAAAATCACACCCATTATTATTTAATTAAATTGGAGATCTACAGGCTACTAGAAAAAGTAGTCTGGATTAATTTGATTATAGCCAGTAAGTTAATTGCTAGATGGGCTGACAATAGCAATGGCCTCATTACATCTTCTTGATTTAGGATAACAGCAAGACTGCTTCCAGTTCCAAAGCACCCAAGAATGAAGATAAAGCAAAGGATCCAACAAAGGTAACCATGAGACAGTAATATACTGAAATTAGTCTAGCAATTACATGAAAGTGGGATTTGTCCTATTAGTAATTTATTTTCTTATTGTATGCTATTTAGACTAAAAGATTTTAAGCACTATCAATCCCCTCACATGATTTACTAAAAATGAAATTTTAAAGACGCATATGCATATGTGTGTGTATTTTTTTCTAAGTAGCAGGTCCTTTAAAAATCCAAATGAATATTCTTAATACAATTCAAGTTGCCTATTCCTGTCCTTATTATAGTACCACTTGAATATGTGATTTATTAGAACACTGAAGGTAGTATATAAAATCAGGAAAAGACAATAGAGTTTCTGTGATACAACATTAGACAGCACTGAAAGGGAGATTAGTAAATAATGGGACTATTAATTCATGTATTATTAGCTTTCTGTTATTATAGTGAAATCATTGAGGCTGTTAACTTACAAAGAGGAAAGGTTTATCTTGAGTCATAGCTTTGGAAGCTCTAGCCCGTGACTGATTGGCCCCATTGCTTTGGTCCTCTGCTCAGGCAGCACATCACAATGGGAGTGTGTGACTAAACTGCTTACCTCGTGAGCCAGGAAACAAGGAGAAATAAGAAAAGATGGGGTGCCACAAGTCCCTTTAAGGGCACACCCCAAGTGGCTTAAGGGCCTCCCATAAGGCTCCACCTCCATAGCATCCCCCAACAGGGCCACCCAACAGTGCCACCCTGGGGACCAAGGTTTTTACACCTTGGGGGAACATTCGACATCCACACTATAGCAGTACATGATTTTTATGTTGCTTTACAAAACAGAATGGAAACAAAGGAATGGAAGTTATAGGGTCAAGTTTAAGTCTCAGAGTTGGCCATTAATGGAGCTTCCTGTTATGAAAATTATCCAGCTGTGGTCAGGAATGGACATTAGACTAGACAATTTCTGGGTCCCTTCCAGTTCCAAGAACATGTGGCTCAAATGGCATGGCATCTTCAGACTATAATTAGAGGCTGTTGGTACTGCCTTAAACACTATAGTTGCATCATAACTCATAAGAACAAAATAATGGAATTTTCTGATAATTGAGTTCAGTAGAGGACACGGGAAAAGGGTTAATAATTGACAGTTATTTGTGCCATTATGTCTCAAATAGATTAAATTCTTACTTTCTTGTTATTTAATTTTAATTATATAAAGTACTTGATCAACCCCTTAACAAAAAATAGAAAACACAATAACCCTATGTGGTGAGTACATTGGCTGGCCCGCCATGCCCCCAAATACAGGAAAAGGATGGATCGTTGTAGAAATGCACAAGGACACTTGTGCATTTTTAAAAGTTTATCTGCAGGGGATCTCTTAAAAAAGTAAGCTATGAGTGAGAAGTTTAGAGTTACTTAAGATTATTTTTAGCTTATGAACTTGAGGGAGAGGAGCACACAGTGTTTGGGTCAAGGGAGGAAGAGGAACTTAGAAAGGATCATCTTATTTTCCCCCACTAACTGGCATCTTCTATCCCTTTAGTCACGAGGAGATTATTTCCTCATAAACCTCTGACACTTAATCCAGAAAAGCCATTACTGATGTCTTTGCTTTCCCTTGTAGAAAATGGAGGAAGCCTCCAAGCCAAAAGATGATGAAAGAAATACAAGTTAAAGTCTACCCTATTCAGTAAGTTGAGCGTTCATTGTAAATAAAGACTACCACACCTTTTACCAACCTTGCTATGGGAGGAAATCGAAGTCCACCTCTTAAGAATTTCATGTTTTTTTTTTTTAAATATTGTTGTTATAAAATGTACATTGTGAAATCCAGAATCATTTCTGCAAAGCACTAAGTGGGATGGTTGTGCTACTAGAATGCTTAAAAACATTAATTTTATGACTAAGAGCGCTTTAAAATATTAGGCCAAACTCTAAAAGAAAATGTCAATCTGAACCTAGTTGAATTTTTGAAGTGCACATACTCATGGCTACAGATGATGGTGGTAAAGCAAAATCAGCTTATTACAATTTATAGTGAAGTGTCCTTAATATTTACCCAAAATGCCAATGCATGGCAGTGTAGAAAGAAGTACCCTTTAGAGTCTGGTAGAAATTACAGGGTGTTGGAACAAAGACAAAGGTAAAGATTTACCACCTTTATTTGTCTCAATTTTGGAAAATAAAAGTACTATTTGACTCTAATTCATGGTGACTGAAGAAATCCAGTAAGTGAAGGAGTCTCTGGGATCCATCTTGAGAGATGCTCCTTATTGAAATCTTCAGAGACAGAAGGTTTTACTCTCAGCCATAAAAGCATTAAACTATTTACTGATCAAAGCCTAAAAGCAATCAAAATGTGTGTTAAATCAGGTTCAGCTCTCTCACCATGATGGGGTTTTATTTTAAAGAGGGGGACATACCTGATTAGAAATGCTCTAAGATTTTCCTCAAAATTTAGTGAAAAATCTGTACTAATAACCCACTCTCATATCTCCTTATAAGAAATTCCTCCTTGTCTATTATATAGTGCCTTTTGCTAAGTAGAATATTTTCTATACTTGTAACATGAAAACTATATATCAAATGGTTCACTAGATTTTTTTATTTGAAATTTTTAAGGTGTCTGCATATAAAATCTTCACCTGGTGGATGGTGACTTTTGAAGAACAAAAGACTTTGGCAACAGACAATTTTTCTGGGTGGCTTCTTGTCGGTGGTATTGTCTTTTGACATCTTAAATATGGTTTGTTATTCTTTTCCAGAAAGAAAATGAATCTGTCTGTTTCACCTGTGTTATTGTGTATTGATAAACTTTGAATTTTTAAATTTTTCCTTCAGTTGGGAGAGAAAGCTTTATATTCGTAAGAAATATATTTGATAAAGTTTCTTAAAGCAACACCAAAAATAGAAAGGAAAAACTCTGCAAACCTTTGCACTTTCTACACACAGTGCCTGTAAATCTCATTAGTATTTTCAGTTTGCACTTACATTTTTTTAAGCATTTGGAAAATAATGCTTTAAACATTTGTGTCTGATTTTTTATTACCCCCTTTCCTTTTGAGCTTTTAAACTGTATTTGATGTTACTTTGGTTAATGCTCATAAGTCAAACATAAAATATTATACATTAGCCACACATCTCCTCTTGAGCTGCTAATAATAAATTAATAATAGATAACCTGGAAAAACCAGGAAGCTCCTTTTTAGCTTGAGCTCTTCTTTGCCAGGGGTTAGGACTTCTGCACCTTATATCAGACAGAACACAACGAGACTTGAGTTAAGTCAGCAGAAGAGCCGCAGGCAGTCTAGAGAAGTCACTGGATAGCAAATCTCAAGAGTAAAACATTTAATTCTTCGCATATCCATATGGCTTGAACTCTGTTGGCTTACCACATTATAGGACTGTGGTTTCCATTCTCAGTACACAAAACCTGGATAGCAATTGTTGCATCGAGCCATTTGCCACGCTCATCTTTGCACTGTATAGCATCTGGCTTTATGGAAGTTAAGTTTACAAAATACAAAAATGCTTTTGCTTTAAAAATAATATATATCTGTGTGTGCATATATATATATATATATGCACATATGTATATATGTGTGTGTATATACTCATATATATACATGTATATATATATATAAAAATTTAAAGTCTACTTTTCCCCCACAGCAATTTAAGAACTGGGTTCTGATGGTCCTCTAACTTTGAGTGGTTTCTTAGATCTTTCTGAATAAATAGTTTATGAGCATTGAACTGGTATCATTGATGAAATTTTGATAAATAATTAATTTCATCTGTATTTCCAGGCAGTATATGTGGGAAAAGATGTCAGGTACATAGCATAAAAGAGATTTGAAATTTCTTGTTTCCAGAGAGCACAGCCTTCCCTTGCATCAGTTTAGAGCTTTTGTTAGGACATAACTAATTTCACTAAACATGAGTAGTAGCACCAGTACTGTGTAAGGCCAGGCATGTGGTAAAGGCAAGCAAAAATAATAATACTGCTTATGGTAGGCATCAAATTTTGTTAATCATCCCTAAAATGCTGTCTACAAGTCAGGCACATACTTACTAGGTTTCAAATTCTACCTTAAAATACTAAGTCTCTGTCCCATCAAGGAGACAATCATTATTCTATCTTTAAGGCACCAACAAGAAAAGAAAAACCACGTTTCCTGAGGGATTTTAGTTATATATTTCATCTTCCTATTTGGGCAGGATGGGGATTTGCCCTTTTTGTTTTGTTTGTAACAGTACTGATACCTTTGATGCTGACAGATGTATTTGCAAGGGTGTAGCTGCAGTTCTAAGTTCCATGCATACAGAGAAGTACTCTTAAAAACTGAGAGATTTAAGAATGCCTCATTCATTTAAGGTACTTGGAATATGCCTCTTATTAGAAATATCTTCAAGACTTGGATGTTTGCAAGTAACTCAAAATGACTTGAGTAAGCTACAGGATCTAGAGTCCTTTAAAAAAAAAACTAGTCAGGAGAAAATAACACAAATATCTGCTTAAAAGTAAAGACAATTTTTATTACCAAACAGTTATGCACATTATAATATTGTATGTGTCTAGAACATGGGCTTTTCCAAAAGTAATGAAGATAGGTGACCAAAACTGAAAATCAATGTTTCTGTATTTCATTAATCAAGATATAAGATACAATTAAAGCAAAATATTTTCCATTAAAATCTTGGCTCTGTGTGTGCTTTTTTTAAAGAAGTAAAGTATCCTGGGGAAGAAATTACCAGTAATTGGTTTTCATTATCAAACCATCAGCCATGTAACAGGAATAAAACCAGAACTGTAGAAGCATTTGTCATGGCTTGGATATGACGTGCCCCAAAGGCTCGTGTGTTGAAGGCTCTGTTTGCAGTTGGCGGAGGCATGGAGAGGCGATTGAATCGTGAGCACTAGCCTTGATGGACTGATCCACTGATGAGTTCGTAACTGATGGGGTAGGTCTTAGAGAAAGTGGATCATTGGGGGTGTGACTTTAATCTCTTTCTCTCTCTCTGCTTCCCATCCACCATGAGTTGGGCTGCCTCCTCTGTCATGTGCTCCCACAGTCATGATGTTCTGCCTCACCACAAGCCCATAACAATGGAGCCAGCCCACCTGAGACTGAAACTTATGAAACCTTGAGCCAAAATAAGTATTTCCTCTTTAACTCAGTTTTCTCAAGTATTTTGTCACAGCAATGAAAGGCTTACTAGCACAAGATTTATGTCTAAAAAGTGAGACTATTCTGTACAGAATTAAAGCAATACATTTTGACATTTTCCATATTAATCATTTTCCTTTATCTTGAAAGTTATGCCAAATATTCAACAATTCATATATAAGACTTCAATTGAAAACAAAGTATCACTTAGCATAATACAAGGATAATAAATTATAACATTTCATAATACCATTTATTAGTGACTCTGCAATGATTGATTGCCAATGAGTGCCAATAATGAGTTACTAACTAAAAATTAGGCCGAATGAGGAGCCAAGAAAGAAAACATCACCTGCCTAACTTAAAGATCAATACCTCTCCAATACAACTTTAGATGAAAGGTTTTTACTATATAAACCTGAACAGCTGATGCTTTTCAGAAGGGACTCTGTCAGTCAGGGCCCCTGAGGAAATGTGACACATTTATCGAAGGAAGGCACTATGCAAGAATTTTTTTACAAAGGTGCAGGCAAGGCATATGAAGATCACGAGTGCCGTCAGGACTAGTTCCCCTAGGCTCCCACTGTGGCTTAGTCCTGAAGGAATGAGAGGAGGAAGCAGTTAACCCAGCCCAGAGATGGAAAAGACTATGTGAGAAAAAGGGCCTCCTCTCAGGAGCTAAGAACTTTGGTAGAGACGAGTGTGAGGCAACCTGCAAGGGAACAAGGAAATAAATACTTCCTACTTCCTCCTCCAACCCCAGTTCCAAACTCCTCTGTCTCTGAACCAAAATCCAGACATAAAGGAAGCTTGATAGTCAAGGTTTTTTTTTGTTTTTTTGTTTTTTTGTTTTTTTTTTGTGGCACTGGGGTTTGAACTCAGGGCCTCACACTTACTAAGCAGGTACTCAACTGCTTGCACCACTCCACCAGCCCATAAAGGAAGCTTGATGATGGACCCTGTAAATCAGCACCTAGACATGAAGCCAGAAAGAGAGGATGGATGCAGCTCTGGAGACATCAGAGGGAGCCACTTTCCATCTTAGTTATTGTTCCAGTGTTCATTGTTCAATATTATTCACTACTGAGAGTCTTACAGAGATATTGATGAAGCAGTTTATGAATGACACAAGTAGCACAGGGGTTTGAGAAGAATAAGATACTTCTCTGTAACAGGGAACCCACTACTTGAATTCACATTGCAGGGCAATGCTGCCAATGAAATACATGGCAGCAATAGCCATTTATGCAAAAACTAATAGCCAACCTTTCACATAAATGGTCAAATGAAAGGGCTAGGGATGTAGCTCAGAGTGGTGAAGTGTCTGCTTTGTATGGGCCATGGGTTCAATCTCCAGCAAGAAAAAAAAAAACTTAGAAATTTCTAAATCATTCAGATATGGTCAAATGAATAAATGGAAGTATCTCCAGCTAGAGCCAAAACAACTATCTCTGGTTTGGAAATATTCACATTGAACAAAATTCTGGATGTTATAGATCATAGGAACTTGGCAAGAAACAAATTATTACAGCAGTGCAAGCTTTTCACTTTGCAGCCACAGTCTGATTTTATCAAAATTCTTATCCATCCAACGTATGTTTTCTTCAATGGTTTCAATTGTTTGTTGAACACAGCGGAGCTGAGAACCATTTTCTTTCAAAGAGCTGAAGAATCCTTTTACCTTGTGAGGAAAAAACAGATTTTTAAATTTTAATTTTGTTACATTGAGCAAAAGGAACTTCAGGCTAGTTAAAAGGAAACCGAAGTCAAAATTCCAGCATTTGTCAAATTTCTTTATAGAAGGCAGCCCCGGGTATCTGGATATGATTATGTACACTTAAGCTTAAGCTATATAAAATGAGCTCATGCCTCATGATGTCAGGTCTTATGTTTTTTCTCTGTAACTCTTTTATTTATTTACAGTTGCCAGACTTTAAAAGGCTTCACTGTTTACCATTTTATAATTAAGGTTTAATTGAGTGTGTCTACTTAATGTGTATTTTCTTCTATATACACAGATGAAATCTTAATTTTTTAAACATGATATCTAAGCAGCAGAATGTACAGAGTATATTCTTTGCCAAGCAAAACAGTTTCAACCACATTAATGCAGTCTTTCTCCACAGGCCTGGCCTTGTATGTTATTATAGAAACACTGTAGGGAATGGGGTTCTTAGCAAGTTACAGTGGTGAAACCCCAACCCTTGCCAGTTTTTTTTATTCCTAATCCACAATTCATGTATTGTTCCCTCCAGATAAAATCTACAGAAAGTTCCCCATGGTTTTAAAGAGAAAAGAAACTCTTGGCTATCTCTCAGAGATATCTTTGTTCTTGTTTCATCTTCAGGTATCAGAATCTCTTAAGCTCCCATGAAGGATATGCTAGTGTTGTTATAGCACTGAACACTTTGCTATTTTGTTTCACCTTAAAGAGTTTTTAGCCTTTTCCCATAGATTTTCACAGCATTAATCCATCAATTTTTATAATGTAGTCAGGAAGCAAGTACAGGCCAAGATGCATTGTTGATTCAGCATGAATTCCAGAAGCTAATTCCTTAAGAGTCAATGTTCAAATATTCTATTATGAGTTTGGGAGTAGGGTGGGATTAAGAATAGTCTTTAGAAGATCAAATTGCAAGTTGAAGTGATGCAGAGTTTTTTTTTTTTTAAATTACATCTTAGTATAACTTCTCAATGAGCTGAATGCATGGCCTCCTGCTGGATCAATCTAGAAAACACCTCTTCTTTCCTCTGCCTCCAACCCATCTTGTGCTCATCCTACTGCTTATACTCCAGAGTCCGAAATCAATTCCCTGTCAATTAAAAATCATCTTGCACACTCAAACAGTTGAACCACATCAACACTTTCACTAATTGGTCAAAATACTTAATTAATCAATCCTGAAGGAGTTCATCTTTATAGTACCACTAGAAAACAGATCTCTACCCAAGCTTTAGCAAAGCCAGCTGTAAACTCTTTTCTTGACCCCCAAACTGTTTTTTCTGTCCTCATCTGCCTCAGAAATGCAGCATCTCAACTGAGTATTTGATCCAAACCTGCCTCTCTGAGAACATTTCCTGTTTAATAAGTAGCTTAGGATTGGAGGAAAGTCTACTTTTGTAGAATATGTTTCATGTTCCATCCTTTTTCTTGACTGCTAGGAAGTTCTGAGATAATTTAGGATACTATTGCACTGAGTATCTTCAGTGTAAGTCCCTCATATAGTTACCTCCTGTCTACTAGGCAGCCTTTTATTATAGACAGATTTTATAAGATGCCTAATTCTGTAAGTAGAGAATAGGAAAACCATGAATTTGGGTAGGGAAGAACCGAGACTCCAGCCCTGCCTCTTTCACAACAGCTGAATGATCACACCAATCATTTGTATCTCCAGGGCTCACTTTCAACATGCTTAGCAAGGACTAATTGTCCCAAGTAATTTTTAAGTCCTAAAGTTTCTGACAGAGCAAAACTTCTTAACATGTTTGAGAAGAGACAGTTTCCTCTAGTTTATTTGCAACTGATTTTGGTTTACATCAATCTCAGAATCCAGAAATAGCTTCTAAATGACAAAATCCATTTCTAACTCATCACACGTTTAAAATATTTTGTCTGCCCCATATTTAGTAGCTAATTGTCACTTAAGCTTAAAAGAAAATGTCTTTTTCTTTTACCTCTTCAAGACGTGTTTGGGTGGAGAATTGATTTGTTGTTCCCGTTACCATGTGGGCTATGGTAGCTGAGCCAAGTTCAAATCTAGAAATGGAAATTGTCAAAATGCATTGTGAAATGTTCATCTAACATATATTTTGAGTGCCTTATATATGTAACAGCATTTAAAACTGATTAGGCATGAAAAATCTTTCTCATACTTTATACTTATAAAATACGATCTCATTCTATTATTAGGGTTAATATCTAGTTATAACATGTAATCCATCCAACAGCTGAATAGAAGATTAAGAATTCGAAAGAAATGATAGCAGCAGGCATTGCTACAAGAGTTTGACAAAGGCAGAGCCAATAGCAAGAGAATGAGTTGGGCCAGCCTGGGAAGATGTGAAGACCTCAAACCAGCAAGGGGATGTGGAAAGGGGTCATTCCAGAGGGAACAGAAAACCTTACTATCTAGACTCATTAGTTAGTGCTGAATTAGGGTTCAGTATTTTATAAGGCTATTTTAAATACCTCTGCTTCCTAACTTCAATGTAAAAATCCCTTTAGACTGTCTTTAGATTGTTACTATTCTTTTACAAAGAGAAAAGCTAAAACACAGCCAGGTTAAGAACCTGTGTGGTACCAGCAGTTTTGACCTTACTTACTTTTGTACAAGTTTATTCCAATTTTCCTTCAGAAACTGCCAGGCCAAAGGATATCCCACTGGGTTTTTGCCAATGAGTGTAAGAATATATGGAAACTCTTGAGTTTTTATTATATCTCCCTTAAAACTTTGATCTAGTAGCCTGTAATGATTAAGAGAAGAAATGTTAGCAATGAAAGTTATAAAAACCTGCAGTATAAGATAAAAAAAACAGTTTACTAATAACGAAGGCCAAAAAGGCAAACTGGTAGCCAGAGTCCAGATAAACCCACTATAGCTGCACAATAATAAAAACTAACATTCATATAGTATTTATAATAACTATTCTCATGTATTCTCTCATTTGCTCAAAAGAACAGTTAAGAAGTGTATCTCTAGTAAATACTTAAAATATGTTATTGCTTTAAAGATTCACAATATACTTTTCCTAACACCTGGTCCTCCCTAATTATTTGTCATTTTCATTAGATGTGTGCCCACTGAACAAATGTTCCCAGCAAAATAGACAATTTCTGGCCAAGAGACAAAAACAGGTGCCAAAACAGTCTGGTGTAATTCAGTTTTCCTTGGCCACATGAGCTTGAATAAATGACTCACCATTGAAGCTTTTCCTTATTTTGGCTCGTACAGAGGGCAAATTCAATTTGGCTTTTCTCGGTACTGGACAAAGAAGACTGATATTTACTATAAAGAAAATCCCAGCCTTCAGTGTTCTGGGCCCCCACAGAAAATACTGCCAAGGTCACATCAACAGGCAGGCTGTGGGAAAAAATATATCCATGAGCAAGTACAATGGAGAAAGTACACTGATATGTATAATAGTGGCCAATTATAAACTGGCCCCGTCCACAGAGAAGCATGCCTGAAAATAATAATTACTGCTCTCCCTTAGTTACATTTTATGAAGAATAAGAGGAAATATCTAAAATTAGGCTTTAAGGAGCCTGCTCAAAAACATAATGGTGTCATTCTTATAAATACCTACATATCTAATGTATTTTAATAATGTTGAATAACTATATGTCAAACCAAAAAGCCAAGTCAAATGAGGCTTAGAATTTACTCCATGAACATAAGTCAGGAATTCAAAACAATCATGATTTGTAAGCATTTCTTAAATGGAAGCATCTAGGTTATTAGCATAAATGCTTCTCGGAGGGCAATTAAGCTTCAAATACAAAAGGACAGAAGTATAGCAGGAATAGAGATTTCCAGCTCCCGCCTTGCTTTACAGTGTCAGCCATTACTAACGAAGCTACCGTAAAGTGCACTGCCTGGGCTTCAGTTTGATGTGGTCATCACAGCCCAATAACCTTTTGTATTGGCTATACAAAATAGGAATCAATGTAATCCCAGACTCCCCAGATATTTGACTTTTAAGCATAGAAGTTATCTCCTAGCATTTCTTAAAATAGAAGGCCGAGAAATACATAGGTAAATATTAAAAACCAATTCATTTTCCAAAAAGTGCAGCAGGGTTGGCTTGTTTTACTTCTTGCTTTTCCCAGTGGTTAGCACCAATAATGAGAAACAGAGATGATGCTCTTGAGGGACTGACCTCATATTTCCATTGGATTCCTTCCACTTTTTGAAATAGTCTTCTGCCTTCTGCACACAGGGCTGATACTTGCGCACACAGGCAAGAAGGAGGAGCTGGCTCCGCAGCACTCTCTCTGAGACTGAGCCTTGGTCCGCCCATGTCTGCTTATCAATGAGGTCCCTCAGCAGCCTGAGGAGGAAGGCCTGGGAGTATAGGACAGGAAACAGTGACATGTGTCATGAGTATTGTCATCACAGATCACTATGTTTATATTATCCAGTACTCTTTCAGGTGATGGGGACTGATTTTTTTGAAGCTTAATCTAACTCTTTCTAAGCCTCGTGGCTTTGTGCTTAATTACAAAAAGGGTCAAAACCAAGAAATAATGATTTTCTTATTTACACAATCTTTTCTAACTATCCTAAATTATAAGAGACAGTTTATATGACTGAATTTTGTGAGCAAATTGTGCAACAAAACTTCCTGACATTTTGTCAAGAATAACAATTTTGCATCTCTTCATCAAGTCCCAATAAAAGTACTTGAAAATATTAATATTAGCCAACATAATAGAGAAGTCAAATAAGACAAAAAAAGACTTATGAAAGGAAGGAAATAACAAATCCATGAAAATTAAGTGCAGAATCTAACATTGCCATTCCTATTTTAATGCCAAATAAAACCAAAGTCTTTGCTAATCCAAACATTGAATTTTTATTTGCTTTTCCTTAATATATATGAAGACATATATACATAATGGTAAGCACTGTTTTTCACACACAGGAGAAGCAAACCACAATTATGTAACTGTTCTATTTATCTTAGGCTTTTACCTTGAATTGAGTTTCTACTTCATTCATCTCTCTCTTCTCCATTAATTTATACATAGGTATCAGCTCATTCAGTCCTTGAAACACAGGCATAATTTCAGTTTCCTGTTTCAAGTACAGGATTAAATCCAAGGCTTTTTCAATTGATAGCTTTCCAATGCTGAGGAAGAGACACCATGGTTCAAGGTTTAAAGGAAAATCCAGGAAATCAACTTTTGTCTTCAACATATATTGTAACAATTTTCCAACAAAACAGTTAAAGTATCCCCTAAATAATAACCTTTACATTAGTATCTCTTCTGTTACACAACATCTGCCAAGATTACACTGGGGAAGAACTTTCTGAAGTAACAGTGAGGGCTAGTTTGTGGTCAAGATGAAATGGAGCATGTCACTGTCGGTTCTCTAGGATACACTGGACTGTGTGCAGAACTTCCAGAGTAAGAAAAGGATTTTCATTAAAGATCCTTGAGGAAGCCCGGTTGAGAGACTTCCATTCAGCAGAAATATGAGTCCCTGAAGTAAGCATGTTTTCTCTGTTTCAAAAAGACCCTGAATATACCAAGAAACCCTTTACAGCCAGGTGCTGGTGGCTCACACCTGTAATCCTAGGTACTCAGGAGGCAGAGATCAGGAGGATCACAATTTGAAGCCAGCCCAGGAGATGAAGGCTCTGAGTTCAAGCCCCAGTACCGCGGGGAGATGGGAGTGGGGATGGGGGGGATCCTTTATGATAGAGCATTGTTAAAAGGCTCAGTGGTAGGTTTGTACTTACATAAGTAAACACAAAACCTTTTAAGATTCAAACAACAGTAGGCCACAAAGGGAAACTTTTCCCTCTCCCATTGTTTTTTTTGTTTTGTTTTCTTTCACCTTGGAAGTTCCAGTGTGGTGGTAGAAGAACCAGAATTCAACATTCATGGTAGAAGGACATGGGATACTAGGATATCTACCCCTTCCCACCTGGATAGTTCTCTTAGGACTTCAGTTCTGCCTAAATATTGAAATTTAAGTTTTAGCCTTAGGAATTATATCTTAAAAACCATTGTAATGGAAGAAAAACATGAAAAGTGTTGACTGTATCCTCAGCCACTCAAAGATCATTCGGTTGGGCCAGATTTCATAGGCTGTACTCCATAAAGATGCTGTCAAGTTCAGATATCTGTTTGTTCTCTCCCCTCCCCCCACAATCTCTCTTTAACATAAAGATGTAATGTGAAGAATTAGTCTTCTAGGAAGGCTTCAAGATGATTAAAAACCAAGCATGGGAAAATCTGCTGTAGCAGGGGTAGAAGAAAGCTTCCTGGTTTTCTACACATTTGCCTCAGTGTGATCTGAGTTGCTCATGAGAAAAATTAAAATACAGATTCCATACTTAAGTTACCTAGCAGTCAAAGACAGGAAGCTAATCACAAGGCTTAAAAGCAACCTTGCTTCGTTAGAAGAACTAAGGGAAACGCCTTTCAACTTCTCATTAGCAACCAGTCAATCACTTTCATCTTTAGAAATCAAGCATTTGAACGATAACAGCTGCTTTCAGAAATAAACCACACTTTGCACAGCTTGCATTACCTGACAAGCTGAAATGCATTGTTAATGAGACTCGCCCGATCATTACTGCTGATTGCTGTATGTGTTCCTTTCAAAAGGCCAGTCAAAGAATCCCATCCATCATCCTCATAATGCACGATGTAATAGCCATTCATTCCCACATTAAATTTGATCCATTCCACTGCTTCAGGAAGGATGAGCACATCTAGAGTAAATAAAATAAATTACAGATCCATTAACTCTCTTGGCTGACAAAAGCTTTTCTGATCAGAGACTGGACAAGAAAGCTAGGGAAGACTTTAACACTCAACAAATTGAAACCACTTGTTTCTTTTAGAAACGAAACAACAGCAACCCAATGGGCAAAAGGCAACACTAGCTTTAGATGCCAGTTTCGTGAGGTTTATAAATCTATGAAAAGAGTGCAACCACATTTCTGGCCATACATACAGCATTCCCTAGCAATGTTAACAAAGTAATGGGAATTTTCATTGGTAATCACCCCCCACCCCTTTTATTTTTTAGCATTATATAACTCAAATGTTTTAATTTCTATCTGGCATTATATTGGCCATTTTTTTCAAAAAACTAAGCAATATTTTCCATCTAGTCTCTTTTGATTTAACCAAGATACATAGCAAAGAAAGTTCAGTATTTAACACCTACACATTTCATACTTCCTGCTTGAGTCAAACTCGTTATTTCCACAACAAATTACCTGTCTTTGTCTTCAGCAAAAATCTCTGGACAGAGTCTGATTTGCTGGTAATGAATGTCAATGGAACATGCCATAGGTGCCTAAAAGAAAGGAAAGACGGATTGTTCTTTTTTTTTTATTCATTCAATAACCAGCTACCACAATACCTATCATGTGCCACACACTGGCTAATTTAGAACTGGATGGTATCAAACTGTGTATAACCAAGATCTCAAAACTTATGCAGCATTATTTAGCCTTCCTGGACAATTTGAGTAGAGCTAGGAATTTGGGCTCAACTGACTGGTGATTAGGGATCACAGACCTAATTCCAAACAGTGACCACTAGTAATGGCACAGATGGACATCACGTGCCTCCTAAATCATGTACTGAGGAGGATATGTCACTTCTATGGACTTCCTCCTGTGATGCACAATCTTAATCTGATCACAAACAGCAGGAGAAAACACAAATTGAAGGATGCTCCAAAAAATAACTTGCCTAAACTCTTCAAAAATGTTAGGAAACAAAGAAAAACTAAGGATTACATCAGAAAAAAAAGAGAACAAAATGATATGTAAACTAAACATGATGTTATGCTGAACTGAATACTGAAGCAGCTTCTTTTTTCACTTTCGATATAAAGATATTTTTAAGACAACTGGAGAAGTTGAATGGAGTTTATAGATTAAATAATGGTATTGTGTCAATTTTGATAATTTACTAATTTTGATAATCAACTGTGATTATGTAAGTAAGTGTTCTTTTTTTTTAGGAAATGCCACACAAGTATTTAGTGACAAAGGGGCATCATGTCCCCAATCTCTCTCTCTCTCTCTCTTTCTCCCTCCCTCTCATATGTAATATGTATATACTTGTGCATATTATGTACATTCTATATTTAGAGAGAAAGAGATAAAGCAAGTGTATAGAGATATAGAGTTAACACATATCTGGGTAAAGTATATTTGGAAATCCTTTTTTTTTTTTTTTGGCAGTACTGGGGTTTGAACTCAGGGCCTCACACTTGCTAGGCAAGCCACTCTACCACTTGAGACACTCAGCCAGTCCTATATAGAAATTCTTATACTATTCTTGCAACTTCTTCAAAAGTCTGAAACTATTTCAAGGTAAAACAAACAGTTTTACAAAATGTCCCAACAGGGTCAATCAAGATGCAGAATCCTATTTCTGATAATATCCTTCGGTGGTCTCAAGCTAACAGTTTCCAGGGTCTAACTCAGCATTCCAAAGAGAACTGAGCCTCTCATAATTCCTAGAAATCACCTGAATTCTTTTGTCAGCTCCAACCTAAATGCCAGACATTACTGTAATTTACTGGCAGTTGCTTAGAGCAGAGCTAATTTTAAGCCAGTCACTAGAAATTACATTCCTATTAAACTACAAAAACATGGGAATGTTAATAGTTCTGTGTCATCAGCTTTCCCAAGATTATCCATGATACAAAGCCTCTTTGGGAAGATAGAGGGTATGAGTAAACTTCATAGAACATACAGATTCAATTAAAATATTCTTGTGATCGAGGTGAGGTCGCTAAGATTTTATCCTATCAGGTAGATGTTACTAGGCAATAAAGTAACTTTGACTTTGACCATTACCCAGTTTCTGGGGCGTTGTCAGACCCTTTCATGTAGTGTTCTTGCTTCATGTGTACGTTCCTCCCTCTTACTGTGATGGTGATCAGGGGAAAGCCCTTCTGCAGCGTCCAGGTGTTCATCATGGTTTTCACATCCACACCTTCCTGATGCCAGTGCTGGTTTATACATAAAAAGGCAGATGCATCACCCACTTACACCCAGCTCCAAGAGAGAAGTCTGCCTGTGCTCAAAGGGCCACTGCCAGTTGACAGTCTCCTGTGCAGAGCATCCTGATCCCATCTCTTGCTCTCCAGTCTCCTCCGGTCCTAGCTCCCTTCCTGTGCTGTTCCCTGGCATTAAATCTCATTAGAGCATCAACTGTTCACCTTCCTTTTTTTTTCTTTATTGTCTGCAGGGTGGGAATACATTGTGGCATTTACACAGGTTCTTACAATGTATCAAATATACCATGCATGAATTCACCCCCTCCACCCCCTCTCCTTCCATTCCTGGAGTAGTTTCAAAAGGTATCATTTTTGCATTTACATACATGTGTACACATTTTTGTGCACCATATTTACTCTCTTACCCCCTTTCCCCACCACCCCTCCACCCCTGCCCCAGACAGGACTAATTCTACCCTCCTGGTCTCTGATTTTATTTCAATCTTGGCTATACATGTGTTCTAGCTGGTAGACAAGATGTGCTGGGCACACCCTGGGGTTGACATAGCACTGGGCACCTAGCAGGCATGTGCATGTGGAATGAGGGGAGAGAAAGTGACTGGGCTTTCAATACCTCTGTAGCTATACTGGCTCTCAGACAAGCAGAGTGAGAAAAAAAAATTTGATCAAGAGCATGTGCTTCTAAAGTGGTAACACAGAGATGGCCTATACTTAAAGGCCTGTACTTAAAAGGGGTTACATTCACTGATACTACAGAAGATTTTAAGAAAAGACTTAAAAGCTAATAAAAAGATAAAATTTGCTACAGAATAGATCTAGAAACTCTTGATAAAGCAGTGTGCATGAAAATAAAAACATGGTAGATAAAATTCTGCTGATTTTCCAGGTTCACCCATAGCTGTCTATGAAAATATCCTACAGGTCAGATAAACAGAGAATCAGACGATTTAGCAATCAGATGTTATGAATACTGTGCCACTTAGCAGTTAAATACATGGATTGGATCTAAGTGCAAATTGCTGCTCTGCAACTCACTGACCTTTGAGAGCTTGTTTGGAGGTTCTAGCAGGGGAGCGCAGCTACTCGTATACCCTTGACCGAAGAACGGTCCTCCTCTATCGGGGATGGTCGTCCTCTTTGACCGAGCGCGCAGCTTCGGGAGGGACGCACATGGAGCGGTGAGGGAGGAAGGGGACACCCGCCTAGCCAGCCAGATCAGCCGAATCAACCCTGGCGATCAATGGGGTGACAGATGTCGCAGCCAGATCACCCTCACATCCACTCACTGACCTTTGGATTTCATATCCCCATGTATAAATTCCAGGAGGGAACAGTCCCTGGCTCACAGGTTTGTTGTGAAGAGTAAAAAAGAAAATACACATAAGTGCTTAGCACATGTGTGATAGGTAGTGAGTGTTTAAGAATGCTTGTCACCATCATTTGCTTTTTCACAAATGCAGGGCTCTGGAAATGATCAACATATCTTCCTGACTGACACAATGCCACCCTAATCTACTAGAGAAACATATCATAAGTCCACTACTGTAGAGAGAGTGAAGTGGAAGGAATCATCAGTGAGAAGTATTACCACAGAAGGCTGTGCACCCTCTTGTATAGACTCTTTTAAAGAAAAATTCAAAAAGGTATAGTTTGCACTCTTATCTGAAATGGGAGTGAGATCACCTGGGACCTCAAAAAGCTTGGCACAAAGTTACTCTTCAAAGGATATCAAGGCTGAGCACTGGTGGCTCACACCTATAATCCTAGCTACTCAGAAAGTGGAGATCAGGAGAATTGTGGTTCAAAGCCAGCCCAAGCAAATAGTTCTTAAGAACCTATCTCGAAAAACCTTTCACAAAAAGGGCTGGTGGAGTGGCTCAAGGTGAAGACCCTAAGTTCAAACTCCAGTATTGCAAAAAAACAAAAAAAACAAGGATAGCAAATAAAGAACAGATGGCGAGACTTACTGAGGTTGAAGACAAGTGTTGACTTCTAGAGCAAAAGCCATCCGTCCCTTGTGTACTATCTGTGGGACAAATCTAAAAATCAAAAATAAGCACATCATTCTCATTTCTACAGAAAATAGCAATGATTCTTCTCAGAGGGAATTAAATGATATAGGAAAAACAAGACAAAAGTAGAAAATAAGCCTGTCAATCCCAAATGTAGAGATCACAAGAAGATACTCACAGTTGCCATACTATTCCAGAGGTCCTCATTTTTTGTGTTTTTATAGCTATACTTATGGAGATAGTGCACAATTCCACTTTTAAATGTATCAGCAGTCAGATAATCTCTTAACATATGCAGAATACAAGCTCCCTGAAAAGTCAATAGAAATCATTGTTATCTCTACTTAAGTCACACCTTTTATTTTGCAATGATTTTTTTACTGCAGATGCATTTAAATTTTTTAAAAATTTTCAACCAAAGAGAGCATAAAGAATTGACCATAAAATAATCTTTAGGATATGAACCAAATTACACATTCAACCTAAAGGAGTTTACAGCAACCAGCACAGTCAGGATAGAAGACATTCAATCTGGGTTGCCCTCTTATTACTTCTCTGTCCCAGTATTGATACATGTAGTGCCTAACTGTACCCTTACAATCCACTTTTACCTTTTCATAAGAAACATCATCAAACATCTCTCGAATCTGAGCAGGATTCTCCACAGGTGTGGACACAGGGTGTGAGGAATTTAATGCATCAACCTCCATCGCATTAAAACACTTGCCAAGGAAATAATCTTCCTATTGAGACAAGAAAAGAAACAAGAAAACATCACCCATGATGCACAATCAATCCATCAATCAATAAATAAAAACACGAACAGAGGAAGATCTGATCTGGAGTAATAGATCTATACTTTCAATTTCTGTACCAACCTCTTCCATATTCTAATATTTATGACATAAAGCAGAATTGCTATGCTTTTAAAGAGCATCCAAGAAACAATGAATTTAGGTAAGCATTTTGGATTTGATTCATCTTGAATACTTATCATTTTAGAATAAAGAAAATTTCATATTAACCTAAAAACAAAACCGTTATGCCTATACCCATACAGCAACAGAACAGGACACTAAAATATACAGGTTCAAAGTAGAGATATTTAACTCTGAAACCATGTAATAAAAGGGAAAAAATGAAGAACAAATTCCAGACTTAACTTTCTCTATTTGGTTATTTATTTGGTTATATTATTTCAATAATATGTATCCATAGTCATTTTTATTATTAAAGATTATGTAGAAACAGGAAAACATTTATTATTCATTGTATAATAAGGCTATATATATGCTTTTTTTTTTTGGTGATACTGGGATTTGAACTCAGGGCTTCCTGCCTGCTAGGCAGGCACTCTAGTGCTTGAGCCACACCTCCAGTCCTATAAGTATTTTATAATTATAACTATATGTATAAATAAATTGTGAGTACAGGCAGGTGAAAATGGAAAATAATTATGCTTAAGTGGAAAAGAATTGCCATAATAGAGTAAAAGGATGGGTGTTTCTTTAGCATAAGTTTATTTTAAATTTCACTGTATGGGATTTTCTGATGGTCAACACATGATTTGTAAATAAATATATATGAGTTCTAAAACACTATGAACCATGAGTGTAAGCTGATGCACAACGTAACGTGCAGTAACTTCAAGCATGATTCATGTGGTTTGTCAAGTTGGGTTTTATTGAGATAATAGCAATCTGTACCTAACACTTCTGCAATGAGCAGCCCTGGGAAATGAGACAGAACATATAGGCCATCATGATTGCTATTCTTTGATATTAAGAGAAGATACAATGTAAGTTAAATTTCATAGATTCATACTTAATTCTGGAAATAAGTCTTTGTGATATATCTTGAAAGTTTGCTAGCATCTTTGAAACACAAATCATCTCTAAGCTCCCAATGAAGTTATCAGTGAACTAATTCTATCAATTCTACAGTTAAAAATGAGTAAATATTTTCCAGCAACACTGAACAAAAAAATAGTTTAACCTAAAATGTAAAAACATAAACAACAACTTACAACTTTCAGTTCCGGATGGGTCACACTGACAGACACAAACTCCATAAACTTGGCAAATCCCTCATTAAGCCAAAGGTCATTCCACCATTCCATAGTGACAAGGTTCCCGAACCACTGAAAGGAAAACATGACTGTTTATTGACGCATTGCTAGAGAGATTAAATAATGTATCACCTGTAATGGCAGCCAAAGAAACATGCAAAATGCCTCTCATCAGTATAAGAATGTAAACATATATTTATACAATGAATATTTTGTCTAAGTAAAAATGAAAAGTTTTTAATATGTATTGCAAAACATGACACTTAATACTTTAAAGAAATAATTTTCCTATGAGAAGAAAAATAAAAAACGATAAATATATGAATAGCCCCATATATCCTACAAAATCAATATGAAAGTTTAAGCATACTTTTTGTTCTGATTTTGTGTTTTGTTTTTTGAGGTAAGGTCTGGCTATGTAGCCGAGGCTGGTCTGGAAATCATGACCCTCCTGCCTCAGCCTCCTTGAGTGCTGGCATTACAGATGTGTTCCACTAGCCATGTTTTTAAAAGTATGACTGAATTTGCATACCTGGTGTGCAAGTTCGTGGGACACAGTCATTGTGATGCCAAGTTTGCTGGATGCTGAAGACTTTTCTGCATCAAACAACAGAGAGGATTCCCTGTATGTGGTCAGGCCCCAGTTTTCCATAGCTCCGACTGAAAGTCAGGAATTGCAGCAAGATCTTGGGAAGGAAGCAAGACAGCAGACTGCCAATCTCAAAGCTACACATTTCCCTAAACACTCTAAACATCAAAACAGGTGGCGCTAGGACCACACATTCTGTCCTGCAGAATTATGGAGCTCCAGAGGGGAAGAAGCTTTCCTCATAAAGAAAAAGGGGCTCAGTGACTTAGTCATTCTGGAACTAATGTAACCATGCCAGACTTGTATTTTGGGCCTTTTAGCTAAATTTCTAACTCTTTAACCATGTGTTGGGAACTGAATAATCTGAACAATTACCTCAACAATCCACTCTATTTTAGATGCCCAAAACCCACATACACCTAAAAACTCAAACATACAATAATTTTAAGGGTTCATGTAAGAAACAAAATGCAGATTTTCTTATACTGTATACATTTATTCATTCAAAAAATTTTTATTGAGCAACCTCTGTGGTCCCTAACCAGCATGTGCCCATAATGAATAAAATGCAGCTCTACCCTCCGCTGTCTTCCCATTAACTGTACCAGAAGGCAAAATAACCCTCCATGTTATGTGTATCAAGATCTGTCTTTGACATCATTAGAAGCTCACTGTAGATGAGCAGTGAGGAGAAGGAGAAGGATCAACCTGACATTTGACACTTGCTGTGGTTCTTATGACATGAGGGGCTTCTCAGAGAACCTTGGGGTTTCACCAATTATAAGGAGAAAAATATATCACTGGGGTCATCAAACGCCACTTTGTAACACTTGCAAAAATGTTTTACCTTGCTTGGGTAAAGGGTATGGAATGCTGAAATAATCCTCATAAAATTCCAGAAGGGTTACTGCGGCATCCAGGGCATAATCTGCTTGATATATCTTGTCTGGCACAGCATACACAGAAACCTAAAAACGAAGGCATAGAAGGATATTCAAATTGCATAGTGGTTTCTCTGCACAACTAGAGAGAAGACTGACAATAGCTTCAAGTTGTGGGATACAGCTGTCAATATTACATAAGACAAATAGGAATTCCATGTCCTATGTTAATACTGACTGTTCCTAACCAATATACTTTTTAAATGTCTTCCTAAATGTTTTCATAAGGTGGTAGTAAAGAAAGGAAGACTTCAGGCCCAAAGTGGAGCAACAGGCCCGCCAAAGTCAGCAGAGCACTGCTGTCAGCTTTTGCCCTGTGGGGGACAGCCCAAAATAGGTGAAACATTGGTTCTCATGGCATTGAAGGACTGAGGAGACAAGAAGGGACATCCACAGGCTGGCCAAGGCAGGAAGACTAACAGAAAATATACAAGCCCTGCAACAAATCCATAGGTCATGACCTTTGTGTAAAGGTAGGCTAGAATAACCACCCTTCTTACAAGAAAACCACAAGTTAAAAAAATTTTATTCAAAATTTGGTACTATATAGAGGACAACAGGGAAATCCCCTTAGAGAATTTGTAGCTAAAAGTGGAGTTTCATAGCTAGACTCAAAATAACGAGGCAACCCAAAGTACTGAAGCCAATAATCTCACTTGAAGTGTCCCTTGGAATGGTAGGTACTGCAAGTCACCAAGCAAGGGCAAACAGAAATCATCTGGAAGAATTCACTTTTGACTCAGGCAGCATAACCTCAGAGATGTAACTCACAATATGTACAGAGAAACAAGATACCATAAACAAAAATCAGTAGAAACAAGCAACCACACAACCAAATACATAAGAACTTCAGATGCGACAGTTACCAAACCCAAGACATAAAATATGTGTGTTCAGTATGGTTTAAGAAACAAAAGAATAAATAAAAAATATGAGTATGGATTAGACACTATAAAAACAATCATTTCTAAAAGATTCAGAAAAGCAGGCAAAGTAACAAGCTGCTATTTTTGCGGATAATTGCGCTGTTACCTTTACAGTGTTCCCTTCACCTAAGCCTCAAATCCCTCTTTCAAACTGCCAGGTAAGTAGTAATAACTCCACAAGGACAAGAAGCCACAGCACTAGAGGAGTAAAGGTAATTTAACAGAGAAGCTCCAGCTACTCATAACTTGGTGAAAACCAGCACAATTATATGAAGTATTTTTACGTAAGAAGTCCTTTCCTCCGCTCAAGAACACCTGTTTCCATTCTGGGACATCACATACAGGTAGACAGGTTGCCCAGTACACAGCGGTACTAAACAGAGAGAGGCAAGTGATCCTTGAAGCAAGAGCTTTTCCTCCAGTATTCCACAGCCCAAATGCTCTCCCCAAAGCCGCGTTACTCCAAGCCAGCGGCTTTATTTTACTTTCTTCCCACGTTCAGTAACATTTCCTTCCAAAATGCAGAAAGTTATAACGAGATGCAAGCTTAGAGACCACTGCAGGATGGAGTCCTACTTACACATTTTATAGAAGCCTAAGTTTGAGAGGGAATAGGGCTAAGGTCAGAGAGCCAGTTAGTAGTAGAGCCAGGTGAATCATGACCAGGTTAGGCCAAGCTCTCCCCATATTTTTGTTATTAGAATCTTACTGTAAAAATTAGTATCTTTGATAATAAGGGCCACCTGCTATCCTGTTTTGCTTAAGTTTGAGGAGGTCCCAGAATGTAGGGCTTCCAGTTTTAAAACCAGGATGACCAGGACAAGTTGATCACCCTGTAAGTCAATCACGTTCACCTTGACTCCACTCTTGGTCAGCTTGCTGACAGACTTAAAATCTGAAATAATGAAGGCCACCAAATAGGTGCTCATCTTCACAGTGACATCAAAATGGTCTTCAATGAGTCCTTCAGCAATAGTGACAGATTTCACCTAAAATCAGAATAACTCAAATTACCAAGTAAGCCAATTATTCAATACATTGCACATGATAAAGAGCATTCTCCCTAAGTACCAGACAGAATATTGAAAGTCTGTCATGATGTTTTTATAATTACTTAGTTCTCTAATACCTAATTTTAATATCTAATTTAATTTAGATATTAACATCAGACCATTTGACTCAGTTCTTTGTTTATTGAGATATAATTCACACACCAGAAAATTCACCTATTTGCAGTACACAATCTAGTGAGGGTTAGAGTATTTTTGTGCAACCATCAACACTTAATTTCTTTTAATAATCCTGAAGATTGCAAACTGACTTACATTTGGAACAGGTAGATTGATAACATGGATAAGACAAAGCAAAAGTGACTTTGCTTGGTTTTTCCTTAAATGCATGTTTTAGAATTATCTGGAAATGCAATGTTTAGTATACTCTACACTGGGCAAATACATAACAATGTTCTACCAGCATCTGTTTTTCTGTACAACTGAAAGTACCCTATGTCTGTGCTTGATATGCAAAGCCTCTTCCAAACTCAGCTTTGCTCATTGGAGTCAGCTTTTAGGTGGAATCAGAGAGGAGTCTTGCAGATGTGGGTGGGGTTGGTAAGGGTGCAGTCTAAGAGGTCTTCTCTCAAGAGAGAAATTCTAATACCTCAGCAAAAGCAGGCACTGAGGTGAGATCTTGGAGAATGAACCAGTAGCTAGGGAAAATCATGTAAACAGACAGGTTTCCTATAATTCCAAAGCCCCATTTCTGTGCCCTATTTGACTTTCCAGCCTCCAAAAATATCCCATTGTCCTTCCCCTGGGCCCCACAACTACAGTCAGAGGTCAGGCCACTCCTATTAGAATTTGCCAGTGGAAGGCTTTTCTGTCCATGGGGCAAGATTGCATTAGAGACTTTCCCGTCCTGGGCAAGTTGGTCCTGGTTATCCATGACTTAGGTTCCAGTATCTTCAATGGAGTCTCCAGAGCACTGAGTCTTCTCTCTGCAAGTCTATGGATTTCTCTACTAATTCTGCTTGGTTCTTTGGGGTCTAGCAGGTCTCAGCCATCCCATTCCTGTACCTTTATTCTCCTAGAGCTGTAATACTCTAAGTAGAGAAAGCACTCTTGTGCCTGGGAACAATGCTATAATATTGCATTTGGGAGAAAATTAGAATTTGAAAGAAACATATTCCTTATCTCAAATTTATATTAGGAAAGTGACATAATTGTTTCTTGCTTTTTCATATACAATGGTGGAAGCAGGGAAAAAGTTGTCTGGTAAGGGTTTGCAGAAAGTACTTTTTATAGAGAACAGCACTTTAGGGTGGGCAGAATTTTGCCCGAGGAAGGGATCCTTAAGATACTCAAACACAGGTGTATAGTTTTAAGATTGAGAAGTTGGTTTGTGGTGCTAAGTGTCCCTTCATGCTTCACTGGCCATTGTAGGGATGAAGCTGACACACTTTAGGACTCTGGACAAAGCCTATTCTACCCTGAGTCTCATCCATCATAATGTTTCTGAGTAAAAAAAAACTATACTGGTATATGCCAACTGCAGGACAGCCCAGCGGATACTTGTGTAAGTTGTCAAAAAATGACATTTAATGGGTAGGATTATTCCCTTGGCATGGTCACCACTTCTCACCACTTTTAAAGAGGGAATGCTGTCTGCTTTGAAAGTGGAGGACAATGGCTTCTGTTAAGGGAGTTAGTCTATCTATTATTATCCACCTTCAGCACCACAGTATTCTGAAAATACTAATTTTCTTCTGTTTTCCTGCCCACCTGATTTTGCAAAAAAAAAATTATAAATTATTATAAATTGTGGAGTTAATATTATTATAGAGTAAATGGAAATTATTTTTAAAATCCTATAAATATGGCCTTATGTGACAAAGCATTTCTCACATGATCTCAAAGATGAGAAAATGAGAGTGAAAGTGCTTTGTGAAGCATCCTATCATTTAAATCTCAGTTAAATTCCTTACAGTTCCCCTCCTATTGCATTCATAACCTGGAATGTCATTCTTACTGAACACTTAAATTTTTTGAGGGGTCAATTATGTCTGACTACAAATAAACTGTGGTTTAAGACCAAAGCAGAGTTTGGAAATGAACAAGAAAAGTTAGCAACTGTCAGGAAATAAAGGGGAATCAGTGCGTCAGATGTTGACTGGTACTGGGGTAGTGCAGTCACAGAGAATCGGCCACTTTCCAGAGAGCGAAAACACCATTCAGACTCACCAACGGCATGTTGGAGATGGCCAGGTGCCTTGGCTCCCTTCTGATTTTAACTGAGAAACTCGCTTTCAAAGCAGGTTCATCAAAGCAGGGAAAAGCCATTCGAGCTGCAGTCGGTTCAAACTGTGTTGATGCAAGTACCCTAAAATCACAGCAAGTGAAGTGAAATTGAACATGACACATCAGGCCCTCCAAAACAGCTCTTTGTTTGCTTCTTTGTTAATTAAGTTAACTTAGGATCCATGGATTTCACTACTAAATGAATATTTAAAAAAAAGAAAAGGAAAACACTTCACATGATAAATGCTTTTATAAACCCAAAGACAGGTTTTAAAAAGCTGGGGAAATATCTGAGGAAGAGTTAATAGCTTAAAAGATAGTGAACCCTTAAAAAGTGGTAAGAAAATTTCCAATGACCAGATAGAATCTCAGGCAAAGATCATAAACAGGAAATTCAGAAAAGAAGAGCCTACAAATCACTAAAAAATCTTTCAACAATTAGAATAATGTAAGTTAAAGGAGATAACATTTCCTGGCCTTTTGTTCATTAAAAGGATTGCTAATGCCCAATATTGTGAGGAAAGATAGCAAGGGACATCAGAAGTTTGCAGAATATTTGACAAATTTTATTTTCAGGCATCTGTTCTAAAGAAATGATTTATAAAATGTACATCAAAGTGTTTCTGGCACTGATAAGTTGAAAAATCATTTAATCTTCATATATGGGAGATAAATAAATTAATATACATATTTTAATAAAGTTATTAAAATGATCCACAGTGATAGTCATTGATATAAAACATTTTCAACCATATTAAAATTGTAAAATATAAAATAAAATTTCACTTACATAACATAATATATGCGCATATCAAAAGAGAAGTCTCAAAGTCTATTTCAAGAAGTTTTTTCTGGGGAGCTATGTTTGGGATAAATTTTACTTTAACAAAATATTTTTGGTAGCGTCTTTAAAAAAAAAGGGATAGAAAAGTACAAAGTGGAAAAGAGGAGCCCCCAGAGTTGGGGGGGGTCCTATGAGAGGGTGCCCAGCACCTGTATTTTTACATTGATAAAATAATATAGAAACAGTATAATCTACTAATAAAGAAAATTTGATTTTAAAATTTAGCATAAGATCCCAAATAAATCTTTTCCTTAAAAACAGCACCAAAGCAAGTCATTAAGATCTCTACAAAAATTTTCCTACAATGGGCTGCTATTGGTTGAATTGTGTTCCTTTAAACAACATGTTGAAATTCTAAGCTCTACCCCCAGTATCTGTGAATGTGACCTTATTTGGAAATAAGGGCTTTGCAAATGTAATAAAGTTAAGGTGAGGCTACAGGGCTGCTCCCTAATCTAATATGACTGGTATTTTGATTAGATGATGGAAGCTTGGACATAGGGACACAGGGGGAATGGACAATAGAACAACGATGAATCTTTAAGGAAAGGAATGCCAAGAATCAATGACCACTGCCACCACCAGATGCTAGGAAGAGACAAGGAAGAACAGTATCTGAGTCAGAGAGACCATAGGCCTGCTGACACCTCAATTTCACACTTTTAGCCTCCAAAACTGAGAAGTAAATGTCGATTTTTGAAGGCACTAGTCTAGTACGTTTCAATGATAGCACAAGGAAACTAATACATAGTCGGAAGAATTAAAACGTGTATTATGTCTCAGAAATCTAATTAAATAAACAACAGATGTTAACTCTGCTAGAGCTGGAGGAAAATTGGTTAAAATTGAGAAAAATGAGATAAAAAAAAAAGAAAAAACAGCCATTTTTAACACTATAAAGAAGAAGCAACAACAAAACTGAAGAGAGTGCAACAATAAAAGGAGTTTTAAAAGACAATCAATCAGAAATAATAAACTTAGTGTGGGCAACATTTGAAGCTTAATACATTTTAAATTACCTCACTTCTCCTTCTTTGGTTCTGTAGGTGCTTTTATAAAATCCGTGGAAGTGCTCAGAGAGATTGCCAGCGTAGTTGATGACAACTGTGTATGGGACCCCAACAAGAAGTGGCTCCGGAGCCAGAAGTGCGACTTGTTCATGGGGGGGATATTCCAGGACCCTCAGTGGTTCTTCTGTCAGCTTCTCTCCAGCTCCTTTCCTGAGGGTGGCCCTAGATATTTGTAGGAGGTGACTATGCAAGATGATGGTACTAGTAGGCTGGCTGGTGGTGACTTCTATTTCTGTGTTTCCCCACAAAGTCAGTGTGCTGAGGTTTGCATGGATCGTGAGGTCATAGTGAACTGGGATGACATGCTCAGGAAGTCTCAATTTATTCCAAGGAAATGGTGCCCCATTACTAGCTTTTGGAGATGTAGCTTCAGTGCCCTGACACCATGAAGGGGTTGATACAGCTAAGAGAATCAGTAGTGAGAAAAGTAGAAACGACATGCTTGCAAGTGGCCATCTGAGGGGCAGAGGCACCATCTTCTTGTTCAAATTCTGTACAGGCATAAATGTATGAAAGCAAAATAAAACATCATTAAAATGTTATCAACACAGCATAATAACAGAATTCATCTACTCAGCATTAACAGATAGAAACTTCCAAAAGTATTAGGTATTTTCCTAAAGTAAAATTACCTTTGCTTTGTTACTGATTCACAGAAGACAGAAATTCATGGTTAGTAGCTATCTTAATACCTACCAGAAAGCATCATTTGGCTTTCAAAACTTAAATCTATGGTTGAAAGCAATAGAACAAGCTCTGGCTGATGTAGGCAGAAAAGCAATTATCAGAGGATCCCAAGTAGCTCAGTAGATGGGTCCCAGTATTGTAGGATATTTGGGAATCTAGACTCCTAAAACAGGTAAATATGGACATCCAGAACCAACAGAGAAGCAGCTGATCAAGGTACATCTCCTTGCCAACACTGACCATCACAAGAAATTGATCTACCATCCTGGAAGTCAGAAGCTGGTGCTGCTGTAGCTACCACCAGAATGAGGTTCCTGCTGCCCCTGCAACCTTGGTTACTTGTTTCAGCTTCAAAGTCTTAGCTTTGAAGTCCAATTGTCTGAACTGAGATGAGGTGTCCACATTGCCAAGCATGAGAGCAGAAAAGGCAAGAATCTAGACTGCTTAGCTTCTGAAATGGGAGGCAGGCCTTGCTCCCCAGCAAGGATCACAGGCAGAGAGTTCCTAAAACAGAGGAAGCTTAAGCAGGAGACTTAAATGTTGAGCAGTGAAGGGGATTTCAAGTATCCATAACAGTGGCCTTTAACCACATGGGTAGCTTGGTCAAATTGTCATGCGAAAAGTTAATTTAACATTTAGTCACGAATCAGTTAAAGAATTCATGATGACTTTCACAATAATTTGTGAGACACGTATCAATCACCAGGATTCTCTCTTACAATCATCAAACAAATGTGTACTGAAAATCTGCTACACATGAGTCTATGCGTTAAGTATTGTGTGGAATATAATAAAACACAGACATAGACCTCCACCCTCAAGGACTTAAAAATCTGGAAGGACAGAAAACACCCAGGCACAAATAATAAAGTGCACTATAGAAAGTAGGAGTGTTTTAAGAACAATAATAAAAGATAGTGTTGGGAAGAATAGAATGGTATTATAAGAGCGACCACAAAAGAAAAAAAAAACTTTGTATAGCCAGCTTGCCTACTGACCAGTTGACTCTGTTGATTAACTTTCTTTCCCTCTTCTTTTAAATGCTAGAAAACCCCATAATGAAGATTAACTTCCTTTGCTCTCCAATTAGGCCAAGCAGCTCTCCACCACTTTTCTCTTACTGACCACCAGAGCAGTAAACCTGCCAGCCAAGACAAACAGCTTCAGAGAAGTGGTGCCCAACACCTGGAGATCAAGGCCAGCAGCCATGAAAAACATGTATCTGGTCACACAGTCAAGCTGAACCCCTGAATTCCCTTTAAAAGGTGGACATTTTCTCTCAGAAGGGGGTAACAGTGCCCACAAGTTCAAGCACGCAAACACTCTGAAAGTCCACAGAGGACTTTCAATATCCTAGCTGGCTCTAAGTTGATGGAAAGGCTCCTGGGCTACTGAAGGGTTGGCAGTAGGATCTCTCATGAAAGGCTTTATGCGGTCAAGTCCACAGTGGGGCCAAAAAGAACATGACTAGAAGGTTTCAAGGCCAGAAAACCAAAATGGGATGTAACACAGACAGCACAAATGTCACCATTTACTCACTGGCAGTCCATGGAGAAATAATGCAAACCTTCATAAGTACTAGGTCTTTCCTAAAAGGAAGATCACCTACCTTGTGTTCTTGATTGAACTAGGAAGTTTACAATTAGCCATAATCATTAAAAGCCACTACATTTTATGTTCTGTTGAGGCAGGGCAAAATTCTCTCTTAGAATCTGTAACATTTTAGTGAACTCAGTTTTTTACATGTCTGTTTCTCTTTACTAAATTATAAGATCCCCAAGACAGAGATCATGTCTTATTGACTGGTACATCACAGGGATTCACTGAATGTTTGAGATGCAATCTCCTCTCCTAAGGCACCAGACTGAGTAATTTCCCTACAACTTAGCTCTTCAAAGGCATCTCCCCCCTCTTAGACTGCTTAGCCAGGCAACCAGACCTACTACGTCCAACAGTCTGGGAACCAAGTTGCAAGCCTTTCATTAAAATAACCCTATATATCCTGGAATCCACTATGAACTTTGGTTGTTCCCAAAATGTACTCAGTAGTTTTCTCTACATATCTCTCTACTCAAGGATTCCCTCCACCTCAACAACTTTCTCCCATGTTTCAAGGTCCAACTCAAATGGGGCAGCCCCCAAGAACCCTTCCTTGAATATATCAGACAAAAATGACTTCTCCTTCCTCTGAAACTCATTTAAAAATTCTTTCTGTGTTATCTCATGCCATCTTACTACACCCTGCCTCATAATTCCACTACTGGATGCACTTGTAGTTTCTTCCCTACCACACTGTAAACCACTTGAAAACAACAATGTGTTTCCAATAGCACCAAGAACTGCATCTTGCAGGAAAGGAGCTTGACAAAACAAACAAATAAAAACCTCTGTGCAGTGAATAAGGTATTTCACTAACGAAATTCTCTTGCTGATCCCTAACAACCTATGGTCATGTTCCAGTGTGTTCAGATCTTTCCTTGAAAAACTAACTCTTCTTGTCTGGCTTCACTTCTGATAGTAAGTATTCAGTTTGAAACACAGCATTCCATAGTGCTGGCTTATCTCCCGGAGTCAGGTTTTATTAACAATTCTCAAACACAGATTAAAAAAAAGCTCTCAAAAATTGGAGTCCATTCAATATATGCAGTCTCTTGCCACAAAAAAAGTATAATTCTTGAAGTTAAATTAAATTGCACTAATGGTTAAAAGGAGATAAGAAAGCCAAGGAGAAAAAGAATTAACATTTACTGACCTCAGACAAAGTATCATGCAATTTACACATGTTGCCTCTCCTAAGAGCCTATAATTCCCATTTTGAGGTGGGGAAAGTGGAGCAAAGAAACATTCATATAACAGCCACGTTCACACTGGTTGGAATGCAATCCAAGTCTATAATTATAAACTGCTTTTCGAACTTCATCCAGTTCTCTACACCTTTGTGCTTTTACTTTCTGATTTCCCACGTGATACTAGAAGAATTCTTCCTTTGAATATTATCAAGACTTACAGTACACATTGTTTTATACAAGAACTTCAAACAGTATTTTGGGTTTTTTTCTATAAATGTTGATACACAGACACAGGTGCATATGTACATACATATATAATTACATGCATATAATTATATTACAACCAAGAGTGAAAATCTGGCTTTGCATTCTTGCCCCAGCACCTACTATGTGACCTTGGACAGGTTTTTTTTTTATCCTGGTTTCATTTTCTTTATGTATATATGCTATCTCACAGATAGCAACAATACTTCCTCATAGAATTGTTGTAAAGATTAAATAAGCTAAGATTTTTTTTCATTCATTCCACAAATATTTATTGATAGCCTATTTTGTTACTTTTGCTGAGTACTAGTGATACTAGACAATATGGTCCCTGACCTAAAAAAAGTGCACAGTGGGAGGGGGTTAATAAGCTTACACAAATGTGTGTGTGTGTGTGTGTGTGTGTGTGTGTGTGTGTGGTTACTAACCATTATTAGGTCTATAAAGGAATACATGTATACACACACATATACATTTAAAAGCAATAACAGTAGGCTAATTCACATTGTGGAGGGGGTACTTTGAAAACATTTTAGCTGAGATTTATAGGACAAATACAAACTAAGAAAAGAGAGAGAAGGAAAGTATTCCAGACAGAGGAACCAGCAAGCATATTTACAGGGAGGCTGTAGAAAGCATGGGTTAGGAAGGTCAGCAAACTTGAAACACAGGACACAGTAGGGGCAGATGTCCCTGGAGAGGTGGGCAAAGGCCAGACCATGGCACAGTCCTACAGACATGTTAAGGATAGAGATGTGTCCTAAGTACAATGAGAAGCCACTGGAAGAGATTAGAAGTAGGTGGTTTGGGGATCCAATTCACATGTTAATACAATCCCCGTGGTCTATATGGTGCTGTATGGAAAGTACAAAGTAGCAAGAGTGAAGGCCAAGAGACTTATTCCAAAGGGAGAGCCATGATTTCATCATCTAAATTTAGGTTGGACTAGAAGTGGGGGGTGAAAGAGAGAACAGTTGTCCTAGATGGTTGCTGTGTTTGTAGAATGACCCCTGGTAGCCATGGGTGCCTTTTATTGAGACAAAGAAAATTGGAAGCAGAACAAATTTGAGAAGGAATCTTGGGTTGATTTTTTTCAAGATGTTAATTGATGAGGTCTATGAGATACACAAGAGCAAATTTCAAGCAGGCAAATTGAACCCAGAGATAGAGTTTCAAAGGACTCTCCTGTACTTCACTGTATTAAAGTGCCAAAGTGTTTTCCTTTGGCATCTGATGAAACTAAGACATCCTTCATAGTCAACATCCTCCATAAAAGGACAGGACAGCAGGCTCTGTCACCTATCTTTACTTCAAGCCAGGAAGTCTGATATTTTAGGAATCTTATCTGGTCTTCCTTTGGTGATTCTAATTTGCCCACTCACCAAGGAAGTCAGGAGCAACTGGTCCAGTTATTTCCTGCTTCTTTTTAATGAGACATTACAGAATGAAAAAATAGACCATAAAGTAGCAATGTACTGTTTTCCAAAATTTTCTGAACAAAGACGTTAACAAGCACTGAAAATAGTTTGCCACTATCAGCAAATTATTTAAACGTTGAATTAATCTGCATTTTTAAAAACATACTGGAACTTCTCTTTAGGCCTACTTGAAAAATGTGCCACTTCTCGATACATTTCCAAATTGGGGGATGGGAGGAAGGAGGGTACCAACTCTGAACAACTATTTTTAAGTTTTTTTGTTTGTTTTTTGCAACTGTTAACCACCTCTTGAGCTGAGAGTAATACTCTGGGTATGTAACAGAAAACACAGCATTTCTTCCTGAACGGGATCCACGCGAAGAGCCTCAGTCCAGGAGGAAGTGTGCGCTTTGCCCTTCCTCTCCTGAAATTAACCTGAGCGGCTTACCTTATGAGTGAGGCGCCCAGACAAGAAACTTAAATTTGCTCAAATTGGAGCGCTTTACATGAATAAAACCCGGGTGGAATCAAAGAGAAGTGGGGAGAGAGAACTGCTACAAGAAGAACAGGAGGGCAGGGAGGACAGGCTTCTACGGAACACATGGCCCGCAGATCTCACAACACCCATCCCCTCCCTTGTAGTTAGCGCAAAGTCACGTTAGGTTCTCGGGCAACCCCCTCAAGCTGCCCTCCTTGGCCTAACTAACCCGGAGGTCCTCCAGTCCCTGCTCTGTCCCCTCTGTAGGTGGCCAGTGCGGCTGGCAGGGCTCCAGCAGCAGGGCGGTGCGCGCCGTGCGAGTGGGGCCCGCGCGGCAGGGGAGCGCGCGGAGCTGGCGCGTGGGCCGTGCGCCCCCGACCTCCGCCAGTGGCAAAGGACGGGGGCGGGGCGGGGCGGGCCGGACCCAGCGATCCCTGCAGACCCCGGCCCAGCCCAGCCTGCCGCACCTCTCTCCCTGCCTCGCAGCCGCCTCCCGGCGCCCAGGCCTCCAGCCTCCAGGCGGTGCGGGAAGTCCGGCCGCACCCTCCTCCGGCCTCGCGCCCTCCCTGCGGGCTGACGTGGGCCCCGCGTGCCGTACCTGGGGGTCCGAGGCCCGGCTCCCCTTCTCGCCGCGGCCGCCTGCCTCGCCGGCCCGGGACCGAAAGTGAAAGTGGAACCCGGGGAGCGCGGGCAGGCGTGGAGGGCGCGTCGCCCGGGACCCACCGGCAGGCGCGGGGATCCCCTGGCTGGGAAGGGAGCTGAGTTCGGGGACCTCGGGAGTGGGGTCTGCAGGGAGACCACGGCCCCCAGGGCCCACACTTGTGAATGCGTGCTGCGGAGTTGGCAGCAGGCATCGGGTGAGGAGGAGCACCCTTTCTGAACTCCGGTTCTTTTGTGTGTGTGTCTTTTGAGGTTGTTTGTTTCACTGGTCACCCATTACTGGAGTGGGCACTCGGTGTGCCGAAGGCCGGTGTCCCAATAAGGACTAAAGTCTCTGAAATCCCTAGGTTTGGATGGGCTTGACGCCTATTGGACTCAGAGGATGTCGATCATCTCGCCTCCGCAAATGGGCTGAGAGCTCTTGGCCCGCCTCTGAAAGAAACAAGAACCTGCAAGTATTTTGTTATTAAAGAACTCTGAGCCCACTGGGGTTTGCGTGTGGTGTGGGAACACAAGTAGATGATCTCCAGAACTTCCTCGCCACTAACAAGGGACACTATTCCCAAGGATTGGCTGTTTCCCCATTATAAGATTCCCTCTTTTTTCAAAGCACATGACATTTTCTTCAGTCCTCTTAAAGACACCGAGACTGGGTAAAATGTCCAAAAAGCCCATCTCTAACAGTTGGGGATAAACGAGGTAACAAGCCAGGAAAATATAAACATCCAACTCACTAAAGGTCACAAATAGGAGGGTGGATTCTGGCCCCGAGGAGGCACAATCCTTGTCATACTATTCTCAAACTTTCCTCTCCAGCTCCTTCGTACCCTCCTTCCCTTTGGGATTCCAAGTCACTGGAACGGTATTTCTCAACATTTTTTAAAAGCTTGTGCCTCCTTTTGAAAATTATATTTAATTCTGCCTACTCTTTCCAACTAGGGACATTTGTAACATAAAAGTTAACATTGTTCCAATTAACACAGAGAGGGATGAAGGGAAAATTTCCATTCAAATTCAACAAGAAATGGGACTTTGGGATCTGGCTACTTCTGCTTGGTTAGAAAATGGCAGAAGGTATCAATCCATAGCTCTAGCCTCTGAGGTCTCCAAACACCTGTGTGCTCCCAGTTACTCCGGATTAGAACTTCTTGTCCAGAATCTATGTATATCTTTGCTTTTATATTTATAAATTTTAATGTGATAGTTTCCCTTTTTGTTTAATATGCAAACAAATATATCAATATATTATATATATGTATATATATATTTGCAGTGCTGTGATAGACCCCAGGCTTGTGTGTGCTAAGAAATTGTTCTACTATGTAATTATATCCCTAGCCAATTCTAAAAATATTTCATGAAGGTCAGGAGGACAGGAGTGAATGAACCAAACAGACTAGAGGCTGACATAAAAGACAGCTGAGAAGGCAGGAAGAGGTCAGTGCCTCTACTGGATCCTGGGCAGAAAGGCCTGAAGGTAAGGAGAGGGCAGACAGTGTTACCCCCTTTGACTGTACCCCACAGGCTCGCTCTGGCTCAGACTTTAGACCCAGTTACACTAGCCATGATTTCCTCTTCAGTCCATGTGCACTACAAATAGAAGATGCCGGCCTTGGAGTAAGGACTTTAAATGTTAAGGAATCCAATGGTAGGTTCTGTGAAGTCAAAACTTAGCAAACTACTAAGTTTAGAAATGGTTAGAGGGAAGAGAACAGAAAAGGCACCAAGGTTTTTTGGTTACATAC